GGGGGGGGGGGGGGGGGGGGAGGAATGCGATCGTTCGCGCTTTCATTCGATTAATTCGCGTCATAAGTCCTAGGGGGTTTCGCCTCGCAGTTGGCACACGTGCACAGGTGGAGTGTGGTTTTTGCCGGGCAGTGGTGGCGACGGTGGCGGCCGCGGCGGCGGTAGCAACGGTGGCGGTTTTTTGCGCCAACCGCGAGGTCTCTAGTGGCTTTTTCCTTCTTTTCTTTGGTACCCACCCGTGCCGCGGCTGGGAGGGGAAGAGAACGAGCGAGAGAGAGAAGAGCGCAACGCCGCCGTCGCGAAAAAAGACCGCGGAGGGGAAGAAGGGCTGGGAGGGAAAGAGCAATCGGATCGCGCTCCTTCCAGCTGGCCTGGCAGGAGAGGCCTTGTCGGCACGTTCGGTCAATGTCTCCTCTTTCTTCCTCGCTTTCTCCCCACTTACCTCCCAGTCGTTCTCTCCCTCTTTCATCGCTCTCCCCACCAACGGCAGCACTCCCGTGCTGCATCGCGCACACGAGACACGGGTGCCCGCTGCGAAATCCCTCTGTCATCTTGCGAACGCCCGTCCGCGGCTAGGATTATCCCACGCCGCGCTCGTCGTCGGCGGAGAGTCGCGAGATCGGCGACATCTCCCTCCAGAGAAAAAGGGAGAAAGAGAGCGTTCGGAAATATGTGCATCGTCGTGGCTGCTTAAAGGCGCCGAAGGAGGCGTTCACTCACCGCCGCCGCCACATACAGCTTTTTCCGCTGGCCGCGCGCAACAGCGTGAAAGTTTCGCTTCGTCCATTCGTTCGTCGCGGACTCCTCGCTGTCTCGGTTGCTACACGGTCGCTGAACGGCCGAGCTATTTTTCGCGGCGGAATACGTACACACGTTCCTTCCTCGGATCCGCCGCCGTGTGTTTACAGCATACGTGTCAAGTGCGTTCTACGGTGCGTGTGCGCGAAATCTCCTATACCGTGGAATCCGCGAGGAGTATGGCGACGTAGTCGATGTCACCGTGCGTTAGGGTAGGATCGCGCGGGCGCGAAGAATGAAACTCGGTGGATTCGCGAACGAGATACCAGCGGCTTCGCACTTGTGTCGCGAGTCCAGGTCGGTATACACTCCGTGTATATATTCCGCGGCGCCTGACCTCGGAACATGGTCGGCGATGTCAAAGCAGCGCTCTTTAAATGCGATGAGGGACGATAAGTGACGCGGATTCCTCCACGAGTCGACACCTTTTTTTTTTTTTCTTTCTCTCTGCGCACGACGAGAACAACGACGTGACGTTTGAAGTGAGAATCGTGCCGAGTGGAAGATTACGATGGCGGATATAATTGTTGTTGCAAATGTTTTTTTCTTTTTTTTCCCCCCTATATTACACTTTGTACGGACTAAGCGTTGGGAATTGAAGCGCAAAGATGATGTGAAACTTGTGTGTGAAAAGCCATGTGTCTCATTCTGTGTCTCTTCTTTTGTTCGCAGAGTGCAATAAAGTTAGCCGGTAAAAATAAGAAACTGCACACATTGCTGTCAATAGTGGAGGAGAAACCGAAGGTGGACACGGGGCAGAACAATAGGCACAACGAGCACCACATCAAAAATAATTTCAAGCACAACCATTACACGCATAATTCCATACTGACACCTTCGACGCTAAACCAGGTAACTGAGCGATGTCTCAAATAAATGTCACGAGAAACAGTGCGTATAACGCCTTAGTTTCCTTTCACAGGGCCTAGATGCAGGTACAAGCGACGATAGTGGCAGAGCGTCTGAACAATTGCATGGCCCTGGTATACCTAGGGATAGCCAGGACGCAGACAGTTCCAGGGACCATCTCAGCGATGTAAGTATATCAATTTGTATAAATTTGAAGTGCCATTATGTATCGTCTCGAGAATGCAGAAAGCGTTAGTAGTCCGCAATGGGAGTATATTCATAAGAATGAGAAATTGACCGATCATATTCGAATATAAGGGAAATACTATGTATAATATCGACTATGATTGGCTAATCTCTTACTCTTCTTATAAATATACTTCTCTACCGTGTTGAATGAAAAAAAAAAAGGAAATATATTTATTTTCTAGAAGCAAATATATTACCAGAGTACAGAAGCTAATATAAAAGGAATACATTAGTTACTTGTAGACATCTACTGACGAATTCGCTTTTGTATTATAGGCTAGCAGTCATTGCAGTTCGGGTAAAGGTTATATCGTAAGTATCATGTATCACATCAAACCATTTAGAGCATTGGATAACTGTGATCGATATTGACCAGGTTTTTATCCTCTTCTCTTTGTTTCAGTGTGATAGTGAAGGAGAAGACGATAAGGTATGTAGAGATATTTCGTCCAAGACTGAGACAGATTATCGCTGATATAATCTCACACTTTTTATATAACAGGGCTCGGATGCCGAATCGATACTCTTTGAATCTTCTACCCCACCACCTCTACGTAAATGTGAGTAATGTTTTCGAGAATAGGACACGAGCGAACATTGTTCGCGCGAGAACGATTATATTTTGTTTCCTTATTAGACGAGTTGCCGTCTTCTTCGCCACACGTTTTGCCACCAAACGGGGCAGGCGGATCTCCACCGGACACGGGTGGGCAAATTTCTAACCCAGCAACGGATGCTCCGGCACCTATACCACCTCCTGTATCTGCGTCCGCACCAGTTCCAACAGCGCCGAGTCCTCCTAGCCCCACGTTGCCTCCACACATATCCCAACCACCTGTAAGTGACCGTCGCTCACTCCTCGCGCATATACGGAAGGGATTAACGCTCGTTGACAATGTTTCAGATGACTAGTCCCTTGGCAGCGAACCCACGTGCAATAGCTCCGCAGCAGCGGCCAGCTTCCCCCGCTCTGCCACCGCCCTCCTTGTCCCAGCAGCCGCACACCACGATACCTGCGTTGCATCCACCTAATGTGCCCCTCGTCTCGTCGAGTCATACAACTAGTCCAGCGGTAGCCAGTCTAGGTGTCACTCCGGCAGCACCATCGAACGGAGCAGCTACCACGAGTTATCCGCCACCCATTCCCATCGCCGCGTATCCGCAAACACAGCCGTCGTATCCGCCGCTCTACACTCCCTACACCGCTCTGAATCACAGCCCGTACCTGCCGCCCGCGGTACCATCCCCTTCACATTCTGCTTCGTCGCGCGCGGACGTGGTAAGTCGCACGTTTATCTGTTGTTGGTGCGCTCTAACGAGGACGATCGTTTTCCAGAGAGGAAGCAGAGCTTCTCCCTGTACCAATATAAGCAAACAGACCATAGGGAGTAATCTCGCCGGTCACAACAATACTCCGCTGAGCGCCGCCACCACGACATGTGTGTCCACCATAACTAACACAGTTACCACGGCGAATTCAATCGCTCATCGAGACATGGTGGCCTGCAGCCTGTCCGGACGGAACAACAACTCGCCGCGTGGACACAGCCCCAGTCGGGAGAGAGACAGTTACAGGTATCAATCCGCGTTCTCTGATCGCGGAGGTCCGAGTCCTTACATCGTAATGTTCGTTACAGCAGCAACGTGAGCAGCCTGAGTCGGGGCAGCATAACGCCTGTTAGTGTGCCAAACACTTCCTCTCCAGCCAATTCTAGTCTACCTGCGTATACCAAGCCACAAGGTTGGATTAGGTAAGAAGAAGCCGACTTTGCTCGACAGCTGGAAACGGGGGAATAACGAAGAATTTTTGTTCAAAAAATCATACAGCAGCAACACAGCTTCCCAGTTATCCCCGGCGACAGCCACGTCAGTTCCGAGGCCGACTCCGCCACCGGTGCCGCTCAACATACACTCGTTCCCGCCGCCGATGTTCGCTGCGCCGTTACCGCCGCCCGTGTCCAGTTCAAGTCCGCACACGACAACACTGCCTTCGCTTCCGCCACCGACGACCAATCCCAATCCGTTCTCCGCGGAATCGCTTTTCCAGACAAGTAAGTTGCTTAGTCGATCGCTCCCTCGTGTTCCTTCGTTGTTTGGATACGGGGCAGATGAAAAAATTGCGCTAACCAAAAGAAGGGGTGACGCATGTTGCAGGTCAGGCGGATATTCTCAGGAGAGAGCTCGACAGCAGATTCTTGGCGTCCCAGGACAGAAATGTCGGTAATCTGGGCCCGCCGGCGTATCTTCGCACCGAGATGCACCATCATCAGCATCAGCACACGCACGTGCATCAGCATACGACGCCGTTGTTGCCGGCGGCTGCTGCGACCTCGCTCTTTCCACCCCCGATTGTAAGGAGCGATTGCTTATCTTTTTAACGTCGCGTGCTTCCGTCCGTGTGCACCCAGTCGTTGTGGTTTTTTCAACAGTTTAAGGACATGCCGAAGCTAGGGGGAGTTGAGTCGCAATTTTTTCGTGCGAACTTGAACCTCTCCGGTTATTCGGGTTTCAACACTGGTCTTCTCCATCCCGGAATTCCGCCATCGACACCCTTCGTGCAACCCAATCATTTAGCTACTTTTCCGCCAAAGGTACGTTTCCTGCTCACGAAGATAATCGGCGGTTTTTTAATCGAGCTGAAAATCGTCCTATTTTGCTCAGTCCGAGTATAATCGTCCGATTATACTCAACCCGAGAGTGATCGGTCCGAATGTTTTCAGTAACCTTCGAGGTAGCGTCAATAACATTCTCAGCTATAAACAGCAGTTGTTTTATTTAGTAGCATGTTGAAGTAAAAAGATCCTTGAACAATCTACATTGCAGAAAACCGGAAAATGGAATGCGATGCACGTGCGCATCGCGTGGGAGATCTATCATCATCAACAGAAACAACAGGCTGAGGCTAAGGCAGGAAGTGTCGTTAGTACCAAAACAGAGTTATTAAGACCACCGGGCCATCTTTACCCAGGAGGACCAGGCGGTGGTCTTGGGCTTGGTGCACCACCAATGGCACCTCCCTTCCCCACTAACATGCCACCTGCCCATCCTGCACCACCTCCACCTCATCCTGTCGGTTTTCTGTCTACACCAGCTTCACATTTAGGTAATAGAGGTAACAAAGTTTCACATTTATTCACACGTATGCACGACGTTCCTCTCGATCGAACAGCTTGCATTACGGCACCCGTGTATCAGCGTGCGTCAGAGGATGATCGATCTCATATTGCAGGAACGGGAATATCGCCGTTCGCGAGGTATTCCTCGGCAACGTTCGGCGCGCCAAATCCCAATTTCCCAAGTCTTTCCACTTTCCCGCCGAGGGAAATGCCACCTCTGGGTGGACTCGGCGCAGTTCACGATCCGTGGCGAGGGTATGTGAAATCACTATCGTTATTTTCGAACACCCGGAGCGAAAATTCACAGCGAGGGACCAACGATTTCAGGCTGCAACGGGCCACCACCGGATTCCCTCCACCGACCACTGTTTCGTGGGGCCTGAAACCGGAGCCTCCCGCGATAGACAGGCGCGCCGAGCTGGAGGAGCGGGAGCGCGAGCGCGAGAGAGAGCGCGAGCGAGAGCGCGAGCGTGAACGGGAGCGCGAACGCATCAGACGCGAACGCGAACGGGAGAGAGAGGAGCAACGCGAGAGGGAGAGGCGGGAGCGCGAGAAGGAGGAGAAGAGGAAACAGCAGGAGGCCGCCGAACGGGAACGAGAGAGGCGGGACAAGGAGCGCCGCGAGATGGAGAGACGCGAGATGGAACGCGAGAGGCTGCTCCACCAAAACCGACAGCTCGTGCCGCGAGAACGCTCGCCGCTCAGGAACGGCTCGGCCCCTCTGGACACCGGAGAGGTGCGCGTGAAGGAGGAGCCGCGCAGCAAAGACGACGAAGTTGTGATGCTTCCGAGGCCACCGGCGGGTCCGAATCCACTGCCCGATCCGAGATACCATCATCCGCACGCGCATGCCTATCTTACCAGGCATCCGCACGGTATGCCGGCATCGCACTCCATGCCGCGCAGCATGCTGCCCAGCTTGAGCGCCCACGCGATGCAACACTTCCCGCCGCCGTCCGCGCCCGCTGGCCAGCCGGGACCACCTTGGCCGGGCGACCCCTTCCGAGATTACCGGTACGACCCGCTGCAGCAGTTACGGTACAACCCGCTGATGGCGGCGTTCCGCGCGGAGGAGGAGGAAAGGGCGAAGCTCTACGCCGCCGGCTATCCCCCCGCGCCCGTCAACTCGCTCAGGAGTAAGGACCCCAGCCCGGGTCCTCTCAGCAACCTGCATATGCACCACAGAGCGGGGCCTGGCCCTGGAGTGCCGGCGCGTCAGCTGGAGAACGCCCTCATGCACGCGGACATTCACAAGAAAGAGGACGCTTCGCAGTCCCGATGATACATCCTACCCGCGTCCTCGGCGAGCGAACGCACCGACGGACCGACATTCTGAGCACCATCCTCCTCATCTTATCCACCCCGGTAACGCTCAGAACCCGGTGCTGATATTTTGCTAACAGAGAAGAAGCGTTATTTCAAAGAAGAAATTTGTATATAGATATTATATAATATTTATAGTTATCGAGGATTAAAAAAAAAACAAAACGCGTAGGACTTCTACGAGAAACGTGTGTAACGAAGATGCCTTGATTAAACGATGCCGGTATTCCCATCGATGCCGCCGGCGGTTTATTAACGACAACGGGTTCACGAAATAACTACGGAGGCATCGCTGACGATGTGTCACAGATAATAACGCTGAGGATTATGTGATTTTCTGCAGTTTCGGTGATCTGACTGTCTATAGTGGTAACGCACTCTAATTATTACGATAATATAACTATGCGTATAGTTTAAAGAAACAAAAAAAGAAAGGTATCGTGTGTAATATTAATAGGTATTGTAGAATGCGAGGTGAGATGGCTAAGACGCGCAACACAGGAGAAAAAAAAACAAATCCAAGTTAGGTAAAAAAAAAAAGTTAAGTGGATCTCTAACATATTCGAAAATTTATTTAATTATTTATTTATTGCGACGTGAATGAACTTGAATCTCTACTGCGGGCGTATGAGAGCTGTCGTAAAAAAAGTCGCTCTAATTTAATTGATGTAATATAAAAAGAATCGCATGTAAAAAAAACATTCACTTAGATTTTAATTTGTATATTAGATACTATAGAAAAAAAGAGGAGGGAGGGAGGGAGGGGGAGAGAGAGGACATACGTGAAAAGTGGCTTTCGGCAGCACATGCTTCTTTCATTTGCATGCTGACTTTTACAGCAGCACTCCGGTGCTTTCCTGTGATATATATAAAAAGAAAAGAAAAAAAGAAGAAATTGATTCAGGAGTAGGCGGACTAATTAATTTCGTATCCCGCGTAAAATCACGACAGAGTTCATAGGTGCAAGTAAAGAAATCAAACTATCCCCGAAAAGAAAAGAAAAAATGTGACGATTAGAATATCCTCTTTCGGAACAGAAAATACAGGATGACGCTTAATATGACAGCAGTTTGTCCGTGCCAAAGTGCTTCAATCAAATTACTCCGTACAATATGCACATGACAGCTTTAACATTGGCCTGGAGCCACTTGAATTTTCCAATTATGCACGCTCATTGTGTTTATTATATATTCGCGCGGCATTCATATTTACGATGACTGTCGATTGTTCGAGGGAACAGGAACGATATTCAGATGGAACGACATTGTAATGTAGAATAACATATAGACTATATGAGATATCGTTGCACTATTTCCTTGAATAATCACAACCAGCATTAATATTTATATAAATTTTGTCGGTGTGCATGTGCGTTATTGACGACTCGAAATTTGTTTTTCTTTCTTCTTATCGTTGATTTTTATGAAGAAATTTCGTTTTATTTATTTCTTTTTTTTTAACCATCCTCTCGATTCTCAGCCATATGCGTCATTGTGTTACCAGAGAGCCAATATGAGATCTCTCGAAAAAAAAAAAAAAATTGTGTGCCATGGACCAGGTTACATTCGATATCCCTGGTGCCTCAAAGGAAAACCGGACTTTTCAGGATGATCGGGTTCTCGTGCTGTTTCGTTTATATTGTAAAATTACGGTAAAGCTGTATATTATATAATTAATGACTATACGCAATTTGAAAATTGTAGATATTTTTCATCGATGCAAAGTTGCAATGTGATGCAATGATTCTGTTCTTGTAGATATCGTGAAGTATAAAAGAAGATTTTGTGTGAATAGGTTTTTTCTAAAATTGATTCTTTGTAAAAGGTGATATATAATAATCATAGTTTCTATCAATCTTGTCGTTTCAATATTTTCACCAATCCAAGACTACACACAAGTCCCCATTTGCTGAAGACAAGAAAGGGGGAAATATCCTTTAAAAAAATCGATTGCAAACTGCTGGACAATAAAACGTTATTTCTATCAAATTTAAATCGATCATATTTTTTATTCGGATTAGTTATTTATTAATATTCTCATGTAACATTGAAAACGATACTTGTCACTTTCCAAAAATTTATTTTATTCGTCATCACTTGATCATATGTGAAAGATTACTCGATCTATCTCAGAATTGATTCCTAGCGCGTCAGTCTTGAACAGAATATCGACGACTTAAAAGAACTTGTTTTATCGCGATACATTTTACACAGCAGTAAAAGATACGACAACGTACTCTTTTTGTAAAAACTTCAGGTATCAAACAATTAGGAAAATGCCATTCTCCAAGTCTTGTGAAATTAATATATTTTAAGTATATTGTGCTAACTTGCGAATAGTTGAATCTGTATCGACAAGAACGTAAAAATAGTGATATTTTTATAAGTGATGGTCTATCGGTGTGCAAACACATACTGGACTATTCAGACAAAAAATCATTACATATTTTCATGAATACAGACGCGCACAATCAGCCAACAGTTACCGACACATGCAATCGTTACATTCAATATAACCTGTATGTACAAAGCAAGAAGTACGTTATCGCGAGCTGCTCGAGCTCGATCTTGTGTAACGACGGTGTCGATGCCGCGGATTTCCCTGTGGACTTCGCGATCGAGTCCTTATCCTGCGTCGGGGCGGTCGGGGACTCCTACGACGATTCATAGGCGGCGAGCGTCTGCGGTAACGCGGCGGTGTGTTCCTACCACCACCACCACCACCACCTGCCCATCGTGGAGGCGCACGCCTACCCATCCCGGGTGACATGCGTCGCATCGGTAATGGTCGTGGTTTCGGCAATAGTACTGGCGCGGCTGTAATTTCCTGGCCATCTATTTGCCCTGTGTGAAAGAAATCGCGTTAATAAATCAAGAAGTACAACTTTGGACATTGTTTCAACAATATTAAAATGATGATGTTACTCTTTGATACAAAGCGCACTCACCTCCGTCCATGTGTTTCATGGCATTTTCAGCCTCATCCGCAGTTTCGAATTCAACGTAGGCAAATCCCCTGCCCTGATTTGGATGAAGTTTATCCATCGCAAAGTCCACCATTTTTATTTGGCCGTAAGCCGCAAATATTTCTGTGACGTGTTCCTTTGTAACATTTCGAGTCAAATGGCCGATATGTATTTTCGTCGGTCTGGGAATTGGCGAACGTTCCCTGCGCTTTCTACGTGGAGAAGGAGATCTGCAGAGTTTCATATTTCTTTCATTTTCCAAATATTTATTTCATTTCTTATCGCTTGATCACCCAATCTACTATTGTATTTGAGAATTGATTCTCAGTCATTTGTGATCAACATTATTAGTGGGAAATTGAATTAGTTGTCGTTTATTGATACTATTCTGTGCTGTTCTTTTTTTTGTACGTTGCCCTTCCTTGACAATAATATATTCTACAACCGCGAGACATGTCTACAAGACATATCCTACTAGACACAGAACGTATAAACGCAAGATTAGCAAAATTGTCCAATCAATAGTTTTGAATTAAAAATTACAAACTTATAAGTAAATATAATTAGTACCTGGAACGTCCTTTAGGTTTAGGTTTGTCAGGAACAGAATTGCTTCCCTTCTTCTTCTCTTTTTCCCGATCTCGTTCTCTGTCCCTATCTCGATCCCTCTCTCTTTCCCTATCTTTATCCCTTTCTTTCTCTTTATTTTCATGTCTTCTTGATGCATCAACACTTTTGCTACGGCTACGTTTTCGTCCTCTGTCTCTGGAACTACCTGAGGAGCTACCCGAACTACTGGATGAACTACTAGAAGTAGAGCTTGATCTGGAGCTACTCCCACTGCTGGAGCTTGATGATCCAGAACTGCTATCAGATGAACTATCGAATAAAAGATCATTCATTATACATATGGTATATGTACACACACACACACATATATATATATATACAATAAACAATTGTGCAAACAAATAATTAACGTCTTTATTTGCTCACCTGCTACCGCTACTGGACGAAGAAGCTGCTCTCTTTTTACGTTCCCTTTCTCTTCCTCTTTCTTTCTTATTTTCCTTGTCTGTGGCTTCCGAGTCGCTTTTGCCTGTACTATCCTTGCGGCTTCGGGCCCTAAAAACACAAACAGCGGCACAAACGAAGCGTTAAAAAAATTGAAACATTTCAGCCACTCGTGTTAACGATACGACAAGGAAGTAACTCACATAATTAGCAGCGACTAGAGTTTACTAATCGTGTCCCAGCCTGCGCTTGAAGAAAAGTCAGCGATGCGGCGACACGCCGTAAAATGATCGTAATGGCGGACCGTCGGGATACCACGGGATACGAAGCCGACAGCACTCCCAACGATGCGCGAAGACAACATTTGCATGTGCTGAATTGTTGCAACTCGGAAAATTACTTGTGTTACGATATCATTATGGAACAAACGCGCTTGGCATTTATAAAAACATAAATCAATTCGTAAAAGATCACCCACACTGTCATTAATTATATAGTTATAACGGGCGTTTTTCAATAAAGAAACACGTAGTATTTTCATTGGGTGCGTTCAGCCATTTACCGACCGCTTGATGAACTTTTGCACATCTGATTGGTGTATATTTTTAAATCTAAAACGTGGCCTACAACAGGAATATGTTTATATGAAGGAAAAATAAGAAATCACAGTCGATTATTCCCCTTACATTCGAATATGATTGGTCTTATTCTTACGAACGTACTCCTACTGCCAATTGTAAACTACGCTTAAAGCCCGTATCAGACTACGGATTGGGAATTGATATTGAATTTGGCCAATCAGTACAAAATTACTTGAATTCAAGTCTCGTATAATTTAGTGAACTGTGCACTCAAATTTCAATTCAATCTCCAATCCGTAGTCTGATACGGGCTTAATGTCTGTCCACATTGGAAGTAATAAATTGAAAGTAAATAGGAAAATGAGTAAGGATATTGGTTGAAGTAGTAAGGGGAATGATCCATTTCGCTTATTCCCAAATGCAAGAATTCACTAACTACGTTTGTTACTAAATCAGATTAATGTTGCCGCGTAAACGTAGTCTTACGTGTCACCTGTATCTCTTCTCGGAAGACATATTCTATAAATACCAGCCTATCAATAGAGAGTTTTTCAGATATGGTAAAGTGCGTTCCGATATTCACTGTTGGTCAACAGTTGTATTTAAATTTGAAGTGTTGGCAGTGAATACCGGAACACATTTTGGCGCAACTAAAAAACATTATTGTAAAAACTCCCTATTATCAGCCATCTACGACTACGAGTATTCGTTGAAAACGGTGGCGGCAGATGGCAGGTGGCTCGTAGCGGAGACTTTGGGATTACATTTTGGAATAACAGCGATCCGTTAAATTCGGATTTCTCATTATAAACAGCCTTTTCTATTTTCATAAAATATCAATAATTTTCTAAAACTATTTCTTTTTTCTCATAAATATTAATAAAAATGAAATAATCGTTGATTTAATTAACCGTTTAATAATTACGCGTTATCACAATTTCGTAGTCATATTTGAACATAGTCCTGTCTTATGGGTCTCACAGCACTTGGGAATTTAAATGACAAGTGAAATACAGAAATTTCTATTATTAATAATTACTGAATTCAATCGTTTGTTCTACATTATCAGTTTCATTAAAGTTTATCGGCCAAAGAAAATGACATCTACGACGAAACGTCAGATATCTATTCAACAGTTGCCAAGTAATTTTCGTGATATGTATCCCCACGATTTGCAATTCTATCAAAATACTCCGTTTGGTGAAATAATGCTGGATGAACTACAAGAAATAAGCGAGACACGGCTCAAAGGTTAATTCGAAGGATATTTCGTTACTTCTTGCTTAATGTGATATTCTTTTTCTTTTCTTTTTTCATATAACACTTTGTAATATTGTAATACACGTCAATTGTATCATGTATTGTAATTAATATACATTGCAGTTCTTACTTTGGTGGAACGTATACATTTATTAAAATTATCAATGCCTGTGTCAAAACGCAAAGCTGCTTTGGTTAGAGAATTGCGCAAACTAGGACTTAATGAATCTGCAAGACTGATCAATAATCCTGGATGTAAATCACACACAGATATGGATATATATGTCAGGAGAAGAGATCATATATCTCACGTTATATTGAGATCTGTGGTTGCTTTTGACGTACACAAAAAATGCTGGTTTTTTAAACAAGAAGCGAGGTTATTTAAGTGGAGATTTTCTTCATTAGATAACGAAGGATACAGGCATTTTATGCAAATTTACAATTTTGATTTTGAACCAGTTGGTTACTATTATCTTTTAAATTTGACCGTTTCCAAGTCCGAAATAAGAAATATGATTTGTTTTCAGATCAGTCAAAATGAGAAAGATAAAATTAAGGAATATCTTCAAGTGTCTTCTCTGCATATTAGTGATATAGATAGTATGCAGTTTTACAAAGTGCCTTTCTCTCATGTGCCTAGTTTAGTTAAAAAGCGCAAGGTCTTTGTTAAGCAAGGTATAGCTTTCATACCTGAAAAAGATATGGGATTCGTGTTCACATCATATTTCAGAAAAATTCTGTTATCAGCCCTTGAAGTTAGTATGGATGCATCTCTGAACTTATTAGCGGCCACTCTACTATTCCCAACTCTTATTATCTTTTAGGGTGCACGTGAAACTAGAGCCAAGTTATACAACGACGAGAGATTCACCCGTATTTTCGCCAATTTAGAAAACATTATTCATACAGAAAATACTGTACTGGTGCAAGACGAGGATATACAACAGTATGTTTCATTGGAACGATTAGATGAGGTAATAAATCGTGTTAACAAAGCTCTGTCTTCAATAGCAAGATTATTATTTCAACAAAGACTGATTATTCTGTTGCAGCTCTCGGGAACATCTTATCCCTTCTGTATGAGAGTGCTTCATAAAGCATTGAGAAAAAATCACCATCTTACTCACGGTGGTAGGGTACAATATGGTTTGTTTCTGAAGGGTATCGGGATCTCTCTATCCGACGCAATGACCCTTTGGAAAAGCGAATTTACAAAAGTAATGAACGAAGCTGCGTTTGAAAAAGAGCATATCTATCAGATAAGATTCATCTTCGGAGAGGAGGGTAGCCGGCGGGATTATCAGCCTTACCCGTGTTCGAAAATCATGGAGTCGATTGTTGCACCTAGAGATTATCACGGATGTCCATTCAAACATATGCTGCGCGACGTACTCGAAGACGAGCTCGTCGATTGCGGTTTCAACAAATTGGGTAAATATCAAGCTACTCAGTTTATACGATCGCACAAGATTTTATCCACTAATTGAATCGTGATCAAACAGAAAGATCGGCGATAACGACTTTATCGCGAGACGACCAATATCAGGCGGCATGTAACAAGTATTATGAAATTAAACATGGTTGTTTCAACGATAGCCCATTCAAACATCCGAATGTATATTTCAACGAGAGTGTGAAACATCATATCTCGTATTATAATCACGGTAAGATACAATTCCTTGTCAGATCATACGTATCGAATAATTCACGATTCTGTACAAAAAGAAAAACAAAATTAACGTTACGTCTGAGTATTAAAGATTTGACCTCGGAAAATGAAGACACTTGGTGATTGTCGTACAGAAGAAGAATATTCGGAAAAGTTGGAAATGTTTCTACGACTGTTGCAAAATATATTTGAAGAAATCAGTAGATCGGATAGCGATTTTTACACAGATCTCTGTAAATATACGTTTAATTCCTTGTAAGTCCCGATAATATTTCTCGAAACGAAGAAGCAAGTATCAGATCAAATGATTTGAATTTAACAGCTTGATAATATGTCAACTAATTTGCGGTTTTCCTTTGTCGACGCGACATTTTTTTGCCAATGCGAAACATTACCGGGAAATGTGCGTTTATTTTAGACAGATGCCCTTCGGACATTTTGTAATATTCTTATTTAAATGTGTTTTAATGCGAATAAATGATTTTTATGCAATTGTTATTCTTTCCTTTTTTTATAAAACTCAAGGAGCACACGTAAAAGCGAGAAATATCACATCAAAAAAATGCTGCCACGATACAACACAATACAACTTACTATATTTCATGACTTTTTATTCTGTAGTTTTTGCTGCGGCGATACGTTAAGTACCGGATGGTATGTACACATTTAAGTGATAAGAAGTGTAACGAGCAATATCTATGTACAAGTACACCGAATTATAAACACTTAACACTCGCCACACCTTACACATTATTACCTTAATGAATTCGTAACGTTGTACCGTTGTCTCGTTTAAATGCTATTAAGCAAAGCTACACGATCGAAGAGTACGGATAATTTGGCACAGTTCGTCGTCTTGATAACAGAAATGTAACAAAATGGAAAGAGAGGGCGGGGGGGAGAGAAAGTCCGTTAAACGAATCTTAAAGATAGCTCGTCGAAATTAAAAGCAGAAGAAATGTGTATAAATCTCTCGTAAATCTGTGTTTCTAGCAACAATTGTGTCAAATGCAAAAATTCCTTCAATCTGGAAATATTCGATGTCTGACGTTGTTGAAATGATATGTGTGTGTGTGTGTGTGTGTGGTGTAAAAACACTTCTCGAACCGTTCGACAAGATCTATCGTGAATCGAGTGCGTGTTGCAAAAAATTTAATCAATATCGCATTTGCAGCCCGTGTCACTTTGATAATATATCAGCTTCTCATACACATACACACAACAGAGAAACCGCCATGCAATCTCATAAAAGCGGGGTGTATTACAAATTTAACAGCAGCAATGGATGCGGCAATGGATTTATGCAATGCGTATATTACAATTCTTTTTTAACAAAATCAAAATAGTACTTTTTTTTAATTATTATTATTTTACGTTCGCACATACAGACACATTCACCCCTGTATACATTATTTTTTTGTTCTCTCGTTTTGAAATCTAGAACTGTATTTTTCTCGTTCTCCTAAAAATTCACTTCTCGTTCGCACATCTCTATACACTCATACTTTCTCTTCTTGCAAACCCTTCATATTTAGAAATAAAATGTGTTAGTGGGCACATCGATAAAATCATCATTTATAACAAACAGGTCAAATTATAAAGTTTTGTATTTTTTTATCATTTACGTATAAATATTGTTAAATATGTATATTAAAAATTTGCTACACATTTCACGATTATTTTACACAGAATTTGTTATTCTATTCCCGATAATGACTTAAGTTGGTTAAGTAACTCCCTTTTTTATCTTTACCTTCCTTTTTTTTCCTTTTAATGGACACGGACTCCTCTAGTATCCGGAGAGCGCTAATGAGGATTGATAAAGTAATTCCCAATACTCCGCCCGGTTCCTCGTGTTTGGCACGACGGAAGAGGGGGGGATTAAAAGAGGAGAGAGAGAGAGAAAAAAAACGGAAGAGAGACGAAGAACTAGGATCGACGTCGCGTTTCTACCACGCTGAGGATGAGAGTCACGGTGTCACTGTATAAAAATCTAAACTGACCTTAATGTGTACTAAAAAATATAATTGTTTCTGTTGAAGCGAGAGGGGCCGATTATCGGTCGAAGGTTCCAATAAGGGTCAACCTCTGTGCGCTCGGAGATATATACTTTCGTTGACGCTTCCGTGACTCGTTAATTCGGATCGTCAGTCGGACCGAATGCTGCAACTCTCTCGACGTAAACGAACATGCTTCGCCGCTACGATGGCGCGCGCGCGCGCACACACACATGCACACACACACACACACACACACACGAAATATATTACGTTTTCTTTGCTTTTTTTCCTTCCTTTCTCGCGCTAACAATGACTAAATCAATGATATTGCCGATACGACAGGACACTCGCGTGCCGTTTTGGTACGTCTCGCGGAGGAACGCGAGCTCTCTTTACTGCCGTATCGTAAGATTCCAACGTGTCGTAGGAAGAATTGGAAATAAAAACGAAGGTTCACATTGGCGTGCGTACATACCGCGCGTACGGATTATTATTCACAATTTCACCCCCAATTCGTTCGGCGAGTGCACCCATTTCGCCGAAGTGCGGAGATCCATCAATCGCGATGCGAAACACGCGCGCGCGCGTGCGCACACACACACGCACATACACACACACACGCATACCACATGCGCACACACGCCCGCATCACCGGTGAGACGGCTCGTCAGGTGTACGTCCGCGCGTTCGCTGCCTCAAGAACAACGGCGTGTCGAGAGAGGAGACCGACCACCGATGAGACGAGCCGTACGTTCTTCTTCGTGCGCTCGCGATAAAGTCTGCCTCGCGGAAGAATTCAGACGGATATCTCGTAAACGGCGTATATTCTTTCCTCGTTGGAACGAGAGACGCGCAGAGTCGGCGGCTCTTGTACAATCTCCGTCCAGCCGCAGGATGGTGCGGAGACCGGAAAGCTGGGCTATACGGATATCTCGTAGTTCATATCGTACACGCTCGCCCGGTCCGGCGTTGGCGTCGTCGGCCGCTGCGATCTCGGGTCGTTCGGCGCCGAGACCATCTCCATAGAGTCGGTCATCTCCAGGGCCCGGACGAACGACATCGGCCGGCGTCGCGCGTCCCCCGAGGTCGGCGTGGTCGGCGTCACCATCGTGGCTTTCCGTTTCACCTGAGGCGACTGGTGCGGCGGGAAGACTGGCACTCCGCCCCTCATGGCAGGGTGGTACGCCGCTCTCGGGGCGTACGGCTGCTGGGTCGGGCTGGTGGGGTTCGAGCGGTAATAGTCATAGGGCGGGTGCGGCCGTTGCGACGGCGACTGATGCGGCGCCGCTCCTCCAGCGGGCGGATAACTGCCGGGTGAGTTGTCCTTCCACATGTAGACACCGCGCTGCGGCGAGCCGGCCAGCTCGCGTATGTTGTCGACGGTGTTATTGGTGCGCGAGTACGGATGGTCGGTGCGCACAAGCTCGCTCTCCGACAGGAAACGCCGCTGCGGACTGTAGCCGGTAACTACCGGACCGGTTACGCTGATCCCGCCAGTGTTTCCCTGCTGCATATCGTAATAGGTCGGCGCCTCGTTCACGCCTATGAAATCCGGCCGACGTACCTGCGTCGGGGTACCCGGGTTCGATCTGTAACAGAGACGGCGGCTCTTAGCGCCACGGCGGCGACGTCGACAAGCGTTTTCGATAATCGACAAATGCACAGTACAGTGAACCAAGATGAATTATGCGAGTGCTGAGCATTGTAGCCATACAAATACGGCTCTGGCGAGACATACAGGAGAGAGAGCAGCGCGTCATTCCTGTTAAGAAATTAGCATCTAGTCAAGAAACGTAAAAAACAGCGAACCTAAGAAATATGTGTGTGTGGCTCTGCGTGTATAGTAACAGGTTTGTGTACACTTGTTTGCGTCGGCTGTCGTGTGTGTATGTGTATGTGTATGGAACAATATATACTTTTTATACCCACATGATTATATATATATATATATATATATATATATATATATATACAAAGATATATGCAAGAAAGCATAATCGTAAAACTACGGTATGTCCTCGTAGGATGAAGTTCGTGTTTACCTGCAGTAGGTTGCAACATGATGGTAGAAAGCAGCTCCTTGCAGTTACCACCCCCTGCAGTGGGACACAAACTTATCTATATACCATATATCTGTAGTATGTATACATGCAGAGAGACTAGATCCTCTACGATATTATTGTAAGCTACTTTGCGTAATTTTCCTTTATTTTTTCCGACACGTTTCTTCGCCATTCGGAAGGTGAGAATAGTGATGTGACAGAAGAGCAAGAGTCAGGTGTATTCAACAGTGAGGGGACGGCAGGAAAAAGAGAGAGAGAGAAATGTATATATATATATTTTGACAAAAAACAGGCCGACATCATATCGATGGGTAGTAAGAAGGATAATCGTAAGAGGTAATCGTTCACTTTGTATTGGCAGCGTGCTCAAGAGATGCAATGTAACTATTACTAGTGTGGCGCTTCCCTCTTGCTCTCTACACTGAGATAATTTTGTGCAACGTGAAAATCGCGAGAGATGTATATGTATATATACACACACATATGTATGTGTGTATATATATATAATGAAAAGTATATAGTACATCTGAAATTGTATTTGTATTCCGAATATTTTAAGAGCCAACCAGATGTATAAGCATTCTATCCACATTATCTTTGTATCACATGTAGATGTGTGTATATAGTTACAATTAGTAAGACACTTCTCCAGATATACTGAGGTATATATACGTGTATTCTCTAGGCAGTATACAATCGTGATGTACCTTCGTATAGGGCTGGATATGGCAAGCGGAGTGGGCACTCCAATAGCTTTGATGCGTTGCTGCATCGTCGGACTGGCACCACCTTGACCCTGGCCACGTTGAGGCGCTGTGGCTGGCGAACCGCTGGTTTCCGGCGATAACGGGTCCGGCGTGTGACTTCGAGATCCATTCATCCCTCTGCGAAGAAAGCGCGCCGTGAAAAAGTGCGTTCATGTGCATCCAGTCGCAAGTTGCTACCTTGGCCTTGGATGTGGACTGCCTCTAGGATAATGTATTGGATGGCGATGCTGCGCCGTCGGAGGATGCCTGGGAGACTCGTTGTTCTCCACAGGTGGCAGGAAGAAATTGCTTTTGGAGCCGTGTCTCTGCAACGGTGGCGTCGGTTCGCAATCCGCAGACTGAGACGCCGTCGGCTCCATGTCTGTGTCCGATCCGTCTCGTCCGGGAGACAACTGTAAGGACGAATCAACAAGATGTGTTCGATCGCACGAGAGAGTGAGACGATTAAACGAAGGAAAATTATATACGTTATAACAGTTGCGATACATTACGTACAACCTCCTACGCAAATTGGGATCGGTTTGGAATGTGTCAAGGTGGGATATTTTTCATGAATTTCCATTGGATCACTAAAGACTTCTTAGGATTCTGGATTGAATGGTGCTTATAGACGAAGTGTCATCGCTGTAGCTTAGACTCTACAGATATTGTAAAGAGAGACGTGAATGTTTGTATTCATTTTTATGGTAGAACGCTCCAACGTAATATTAAGAAGCCAATACTAAGAGAACAGCGCACAACGAGGCTACTTGCGAGAAATACATTTAACTAACGTAGTGATAATAACAACATATATATATATATATATATATATTGTGCTGTACATGCTCGAGAAACTGCGTGTGAACGGAGAATGTAAGCTGCGATTAAGACTCTAATTGTGGACAGTAAGCACAAAATAATAATACAAGCTGAAATTCAAGCACTAGACCCTGAAGGGAAAATAGAAAAAGTAAGAAAGACAAGCGCTAGCTCTTACCTTATTGTAAGCATTTGAACTGGCATTTCTAACACCATTGCTGCTATCCATGTAGGTCTTTACCTGGTTCTCACTGCCTATAGTAGATATCTCTGATGCATAAGCTCCACGTCGATTTCCTGAATATTTTTCAGGCTTAACTAGACTGCAAAAAGTTACAAGTCAAATCAGCTCTGTGCGAGAGAATTAATTTCGTATGGCTCTTTGTACAATACCTTGGGTATTGTGGTCCAAATTGTGTGTAACAACAGTTGTGTAGACAGCCACGAGAAAAAGGATTGTAGCCCCCATTAAATTTGCCTGTTACCTGTTCATTAGTGGTTCGTCCTCTGGAAACAAGGACCACGTGAAAGCCGGTCAGTCCAAGTATTGGAATGAATAAGACCACTACTACTCCCATGAGCACGAATCTGTACCAAAGTTAAGGATTTTCTAAAGTCAATCCTTACATCATGCTCTCTCTTACGCAAAGGATACGCAACAATAGTGTCCACTTCACTCAAATGCTCCTTATGATTCAGTACAAAGTTCAGACATAGCCCAAATATACTGATCATGTGAGTACTGAGCGACAGAAGGAAGAAAAAGAAGAATCTGTAATTCCTTCTACCGATACAATTGTTTACCCATGGGCAGTGATGGTCGAATGTCTAAAAAAAAGATGAAGCTCATTAAATCATTGTTTCGGCAAGTTTCAACAAGCTGAGAGACACACCTCGATACAATGATCACAAACACTGCAATGTGAGCAACGTGGAGGTCGGTAGAACTTGCAAGTGACGCACCACTTCATACGCACAGTGATACCATTGATCTCAACGCTCTTATATAACGGTGCTCGAAAATCATCTTCACGGTCTTCGTCAGGAGGTGCTTCAATAAGAATTAGAACATTTCTGTTGATTTTTATCACAGACTACACACTATCGACAGATTCTCCGGTGATCATACCTCTTGGTATAACACCTGGGTCCATAAATGTGGCCAATGTGAAGTTTGCCAGGACAAAGAAAGTAATGACCCCTTGCAGAACTGGTACCCACGGGCCCCATCGAGAGACGTAATATTGGCACCTATGTGTGTACGAACGATCAGTCACGACGGCGATAACACGACAAACGTGACAACTTACGGGAAGGAGAAGAAGAGTGTCGTGGTGCCGAGTAGGACCGTCCACGCGAACGTAGCTGGCAGATACCTTGTCTTCACATCGCATTTCGGCATTCTGCACCGCGCTCCACTTCGTGGCCCGCACGTTCAGCGAATTATTAATGGATAGGATTTCTGCTAGCAGGAAACATGGCCGCGTCCATCCGCGCTGCTTATTTGCAATTCGTAGCGAGCACGGGCACGCATTCTAGCCGCGCCCGGGCGACGCATCGGTGAATCGCCGATCAGCCCGCTGCCCGTCACTCGCGCGTCATTTCACCGATAGTATCCGCGGCGTTATTAAATATTTAAGAGCTCCCGCATATACGGACGACCACCTCGGTGACATACATATATAGCGCGCGATGCATCTCGCTGGATCTCGTGTGTCAGCCCCCTCCCCCGCATCCCACTATCGGTCGGCTGCAGCTTCAAGTCGTGCTCGCACATAAGCGCGCGCGATATTTTTCGATCCTCTAATTTCGCTCATCACCCCCTCTTTCTCCGTGTCATAAGCGCGATCATGATTTGGAAAAGGACGGAACTACGAGCGAGAATATCAAGGGCGCGAAATCGCGTCGTGGAGATTCGGCAACTTTCTTGAGGATGCAGGCGGAACCAATTTTTAAGGCTGGTATTCATACGATCCTTACAGCTGAACTAGTGCAATAAGTTGAAGTGAGACAAGAGCAGGGTGACGATTGGTCAATTTCTTATCAGGATTGAATCAGGACAAGCTTCACTAGATTTGAGTTTAGTGAACTTTGCTCCGAACTTTGGTCAAACCTCAGTCCAATCTCAATCCAATCTCGCATTAGTATTGTAGACTAATCACTTTTTCATCCGATCGATTCTCCCGACTGTAATTGCTTCTCAGATGATCTGTAGTGTAAAATTTGTTAGAAAACTTATGAAAATGGATCGAAAAAAATTAGAAATTATAAAATAACGCGCGAAGAAAGATCAGGTTGCGATTGGTCGTGAACTACACGTGATAAATTCGTCTCACGTTTCTGTTTCGCGGTTGAAATACTAATAATAACCAACCGCCGTTGTTACCGGTTACTTGTCATCGGTTGCTCGTCGCGGAATTGAGCAAGGACTTGTCATCGGTTACTCGTCACGGAATTGAGCAAGCAAGGATTGCTCGTTAGAATTGTAACACTCGACAGAAAAACATGCACGTGATTAAACGCGGTAATTGAAAGAATATAATATTCATTCTGCCATATTAAGGACCTTGTCATTATGATGCCGCATACTATTTTCCCGCCTTTAATCTCGATATCTTTCCCTTGCTGATAGACGGTCGTGTTCAGGCTGTTCACTTTGATAAAATAACATCAAGAATTGTGACGTTATGTTACGGTTTGGATATGAATTATGTGGATCCTGTAAGTGTTTATATATTTGCAGGTAGCAAATAAGAATACTGAATACGCTGTATTCAGCATTCTTTGCATTTTTTGTCAATACGAGAGAGAAATATATATTTACTGTTTGTGTGTCATTTACAGTCTGTTGTTACTCATCGTGTCATATCTGGTTTTTATTCTGGAATGACAACGGTTGAATTGGACACTTTGGCGGCTGATATTGCAGCAAGCATGGTCAATCAGCATCAGGATTATGAGACTTTAGCAGGAAGAATTGCCATATCCAACCTGCATAAGGAAACGAAGAAAGTTTTCAGTGGTAAAATATCATAACATTGTGCATTGTTTGTATAATTTGTTTTGTCATATGTATTTCTTGCAGAAGTAATAACTCAGTTATACCATGGACATGTATCAATCATGAACAAACGTTTTCCCACAATCTCTGAGAAACACTATATGATTATTCAAGAGAGTGCAGACAAATTAAATTCAGCTATAATTTATGACAGGGATTTCAATTATAGTTATACTACGTTTAAAATCCTTGAGAATAAATACTTGCTGAAACTAAATGGAAAGGTGGTCGAGAGGCCACAGCATATGCTGATGCGGGTTGCTGTATGTATTCACGGCGAAGACGTTGATAAAGCTATAGAGACGTATAATTTTCTATCAAAACAATATTTTGTACATGCTGCACAGACATTAAATACTGCTTGTACCGTTAAACAGCAACTAGCTAGGTAAACTACTTTTGCTGGGAAGTCTTATTGATAGTATAATGGCGTGTCATTAAATATGCAATATCTTCGCAGTTCATTTTTATTGACGATGTCTGAGGATAGCATAGATGGAATATTAGATTCCTTACAAAGAGCCGCCATTTTATGCTATCATAATGGCGACATTGGTTTTAACGTGCATTGCATTCGTGCAAAAAACACACCTATACGTGGCACAGGAGGTGTGTCGAACGGATTGGTTCCTATGTTAAAAGCATACAATACATCTATCCCGACCGTTTGCAAGAATGGCAAGACTGAAGCACCAATTACCGTGTATCTAGAACCATGGCATTTGGATGTATTTGAGTTCTTGGAACTCAAGAGGAACATTGGTTATTATTATTATCATTTTTTGGTTTTATACTATGTTTTCTCTTTGTATACGTATCTGAATAAATATACGAATGTTGCAGGTGATGAACAATTGAGAGCTAAAGATATGTTTTACGCGCTGTGGACCCCGGACTTATTTTTGAAACGTGTTTTTAACGACGATGATTGGAGCCTGATGTGTCCGCACGAGTGTCCGGGGTTGATTGAAACCTGGGGTGATGAATTTGAGACTTTGTATATCAAGTAATGAATTATATATATATATATATATATATATATTTATATTTATATATGTTTTTAAGTTACACAGTTATAGAATTTTATAAAAGAAATGGGAGCATTTTTAAGGTATGAGAAGGAGAAACGTTTCCGGAAACAAGTTAAGGCCAGAGATTTATGGCTTCTCGTAACTCAGTTACAAGCTCAAACGGGTACACCATACATAGTGTATAAGGATCATTGTAATCGCAAGTCAAATCATCAAAACTTGGGCACAATTCAATGCGGTAGCTTTTCCACCGAGGTCATTCAATATTCGAGTTCCGATGAAGTTGCCGCGTGCAATACAGCTGCAATTGCCGTCGATATGTTTGTGAATTCTACCTCGAGAACTTACGACTTCTCTAAGCTTAAGGAAGTAGCCAAAGTTGTTACGTACAATTTGGATAAGATAATAGACGTTAATTCATATCCTCTTGAAGAAGCAGCATGGTCCACTAGTAAACATAGAGCCATCGGTAAATTTATGCGTATAATTTATGCACTGAAATGTACAATTTTTAAGATCGATCTTTGGAATATCTTAGGTATTGGCGTAACGGGCTTGGCGGATGCGTTTATCTTAATGAGATATCCATTTGAAAGTAAAGAGGCTAAAGAGCTCAATGTACAAATTTTTGAAACCCTTTATTATGGTGCCTTAGAAGCTAGTTGCGAAATGGCCATGGAAAATGGGCCTTATGAGACGTATGAAGGAAGTCCAGTTAGTAACGGAGTAAGTAAAAAAATATCGCCCACGCACTTATTAATTAAAACTATATTAACGCCGATTGTTCAATTTTCCTTCCTCTTGTTGTAGATTTTGCAATATGATATGTGGAATGTAAAACCAACAGACTTATGGAATTGGGATACTTTAAAAGCAAAGATAGCAAAACACGGAATACGGAATTCTTTATTGATCGCGCAGATGTCGGATTCTTTCATGGCGCAAATGTTAGGAAACAATGAATCAATTGAGCCATATATAAGCAACATATGTATAATGTATGCGTTATCTAAACGGTTTCCATATGTTAAGGCACGTTTATTGCGTGATCTTGTTGAAAAAGGTCTTTGGAGTGAAGACATGTGTAATAAAATCATTGCTAATGGTGGTTCCATACAAGTAAGTATATATTATCGAAGTATATATTTGATGAAATTATTACGCGCGACTTGTATAAATGTTCACTGATCGGTATATTGTGTAAACTTTTCTTCATTTACAGAATATCGATGATATACCCGAGGATTTGAAGTTACTTTATAAAACTGCCTGGGAAATGCCGCAAAAGACAATTTTTGAAATGGCGGCTGCTCGTGCACCTTATATCGATCAATCGCAGTGTTTGAATGTTCACATGATTGACCCATCCGATAAACTCACGTCAATGCACTTTTATGCGTGGGAAATTGTAATTATAATGTGTTATTTTATATAATTACTTGTGTAATGTATTGTCCTTTGATTGTAACATTGAGTGTGTACTTTATTTACAGGGTTTGAAGTCTAGTATGTATCATCTCAAAACTGAAGACTCTGCTGACTATATTCAAACGAAAGCTGAAAAATAACATTTTTAACGAAGGCGTAACGCCAAATGTCACGGACAAAAAATATGTGAAACATAGATATCAACAACATTGCGTTTGAAGTTGTTTCTTTAAATATTATATGAAAATTATAAACATTTTAATATACTATTTTTTTAAATAGCGTTCTAATAAATAATATTATATATAAGTTGTTTTATGAGACATGATGATTTATTTTTTATATTTTTTGACATTTTTATTACAAAGACCCCTGCTGTCTTGCTTTTGTACTGATCCTGTTTTATTAACAATAGATACCGGTAAGGCGTGCAGCACTATTTCCGTTTGATTTGTTTTCTACTCATAAACAGTCATTCGTTGTGATTTCATGCTAGGTTGAAAAAGCAATCGAAATACGAAAATTCCACCCAAAAATTGCTTTAAAAATTTAAATATAACAGTAGACTGCCCTTGTTTCGTTAATCTATATAATCAAAATACGGTACGTTAGGAAAAAATAGATGTACCCACCTTTTTGATGCTTGATTCTTGAATCATTCGTATACTCAACTTGCGAACGATATCCAATGAGCTATCCCGTAAGAGCAGTATGCTCATTGGATATCACTCGCAAATTACGAATAGTTACTTGCGGTCTGTTCTTTATAGCTGAACTGGTGCGATAGTGGAAGTGAGGAAACATATGTCTGTCTCACTTCAACTTATGCACTGGTTCAGCAGTGCAGTTATAAAGAACAGACCATTGGTATCACCCGAACGTTTCCGAGTCTTCACGCGTGTACTCGAGTGAAGTTTCGTCTACAAATAGTATAAGAGGCTTGCAATTCAGCGGCCCATAACCACAAGTGAGTGAAGTTTTCGAATACAGTTTTGGTATAGAGAGAGAGAGTTCACTAGTTTAATTAAAATCATTTAAAATGAAAACTTCACGGTATAAAAAGGCGCGAAAGAATCTAGGTTTTTATATAAATAATTATAAATTTTATCAACCGTTCCAAGTTCTTATCGATGGTACATTTGCGTATACCGCATTAGAGGTTAGTATTATTTACCATTAAGCATATATTAACACGTGCATTGCCAATCACGCGATATCGCGTGATGCGAGTTCTCACCAAACGGCCGATCACGCGTTATCGCGCAATAGATATTTAGAGTACATAAATCCTATGTACATAATAAATAAAAGCATATAAATAATACATTAACTTATTTTGAGCACAATAAAAACTAAATAAAAAAATTAAAAAATTTGGCCACCACACGAAATTCCAATTTTCAGCTTGGCAATGAACGTGTTAATGTTGGATTTATAACTCTCTCTGTATATTTTACTTTTATATTTTACAGAATAAATTCAACATACAGGATCAACTTGCAAAGTACTTTCAATCTGAAGTAAAACTGCTAACAACACCGTGTATTATTTCTGAGACTGAGAAACTTGGTTTGTCTTTTCAAGCAGTGAATGGTGCCGTGCAAATAGTGAAACAATATGCTATACATAAATGTGCACACGCAAAAAAGCCAACCACTGGCCTAAAATGTTTTATGTCTATGATAGGAAAAGATAATAGTTCCAGGTATGTTATCTATTTATATTAAAGATATTTTTTAAAAACTAGCTGCATTAATTCAAAAAATATATGCACAAGAATCTCGTGTGAATACTTTATACGCCTCAATATTGATTTGTTGAACTAGTGCAGCCATTTTAGCTAAAAAATAACAGACCAATTATAAACATAAGTAAAAAATATATTAAGAATGTTCTTAAGAAATTATTTGTAACTTGTTTATTATAGATATATCGTTGCCACACAAGATCGTGAACTCCAAGATAAACTGAGAACACTTCCAGGAGTTCCTATAGTTTATTTACATGGAAGAGCACCCACGCTAGAATCTCCTTCGGAAGCAAGTCGTAAATATGCTGAGGTTATGCAGAAAAATTTAGGTATAAGTGCATGGGAAAAGGAAAATATGAAAGTATTGAAAAAGCAAGCAGGAATAGTAGAAGAGGAGAGTAAACGGAAGAAAAGGAAGAAAAACGGAGGACCAAATCCACTCAGTTGTTTGAAGAAAAAGAAAAAGACAGAAACAACAGTATCGAATAAAACCAATGCAAAATCTGATAAAGTTCGAAAAAGAAAGATTAAAATAGCGCCACATATTAAAGAAGCTTTAATGACAGAACTGAGGAGTAAACGTGAGGTGTCGTGATCTGGATATCGAGGAGATGAAATGTTCTCTATTATTTGTAGAATACAATATACCTTCTGTTGATTTAAGAAGAATAAAGTATTTATTTAAATCTACTCTTGTCTAAGCTAAAACATATATATTCTATTATTTGTTCTCTTATTCATACAGAAAATGTATTTGTTAGTATTTCAACATAATTAAAAAGAATTGACTACGCGTATATATGGAAGTTTTATGATGAATCTGAACGATTCATGGTGCATTCGGGAAGCACACTGTCGGCACTAAAGCATCATTCTATCTTTATCTCTCATTAGATGTCAAACAAGGATTGAGTGATGCTTTTACTCAGCTAGTACTGATAGCGCGCTCCCCGAACATACCTCTAGATACATACATGTTCTTTAAGTGTCAAGTTTCTCATGTCAAATGTGATATACGCCAAGTTCATGACATTTATGACGAATCTGTTCATTTTACAATACGTGCTGATGGTTGGCAAAACATTTGTTACAAATGATCGAAATCTAACCCATTTAATGAAATTAAATAAAGTTTACAATGTTTAATTTTATCGAGTTATGGCGATGCGCTCTATTCTAAAGTAATCCAAGATCATTAACCTTTTAAACATCGTGAAAATATAGTGACTATATGAGAAAAATAAGTAAATAAAATTATCAGTTTCCTCGGAGAAAAATGTACAATATCCTTTGGATATACGAGCTATCTTCTTAGTATAATATTTAAACGTATATTTGAACACGTAAATCTGGAATTAGGAACATCCACATGTAGAAAGCATAGAAACATTGGAAAATAATTTTTTTTTCGATGTAGGTGGCACAATTATTTACAGCCTTTGTTTAAGGACTTTCAGATAATGTTTAATACTATATTATCGTACGTGTACATATGTGAGATAATCATTGTCAAACAACAATGCTGACTACTTTTCTGTCAAACATATAAATACTCAAACCGAATTACGCGTGTAAAACAAATTCTGATTTTATCATTTGATTAACTATTATAATTATTATGTGATATTATATATTCATTCCAATGTAGACTCTTCCTAAAGTTCGTAAATTGCTAGTCATAAAAATATAGAATCTTTTTCAGTCAAAAAATTGATTTCCTAAACGGCTATTAAGCAAAATCTTCAAGAGATTACGATTTAATTAAAAATTTTTTACAATCTCTCCTATGAATATATGATTTGTTAAATGTGATAATAGATCATGAAGTCCACGTGCTGTCAATGTTTAGGTATAAAGAGTTTAAGCAACTTGAAGAAATGTTACAATTCATTGTCACTGTTCATTGTTGAAAATTAACATTTGCAACCGCCGAAAGTTTAAATCCAATATTATGCAACAACGCACGACAGAAAAATCTCTCTTTTAATAGCCTAGAATCAAACGATTCACGTACAATTAAAATAAAATTTCATTGAATTCACCTATGAACTGTTAAAATAACATTTCACTGAAACACCTATGAATTGTAAACAATGAGTGATAACTTACTGCATCATTGAGATATATGTATGTATATATATGTATGAGATATATACATAAAATTCTCTTGAAATTAAACGAAATCTCTGAATATATTGTAAAGCAATTGTGAGTGCTAATGAATCCTTACAAGTATAGTTGTGTTCCATATTTTATATAAATCACTGCCAACTTCATAAACACGACTTCTACGAATATTGCTTTTAGACAAAAGTAGTCTTTAAACAGAACGTATAAAATCTTACATTGTATATTTGAGCGAGCTCATAAGCGTGGCGGTCAAGGATGCTGACTTAGTAGGGCACGAGCAGCCATAGCCAGCATTTTCATACGGCGTGCCGATCGATGATTCGGATTACTCGCTAAAAAGGCGCCTAGTTGATTTTGCAGCGTTATTAACACAGTGCCAATGTGCTCTCGCGTCACGGGATCATTCACGTCCAAGTTCAATATCGCTTCTTCCAGCCATCTGGGGGGAAAAAAAAAATGTCCTAAAGTATACTTCGTTCCGAGACTTTTTATACCATAATCTGTTACAACCTACAAACGAAAACAATTACCTGTGCTTCAATTCTGTACGATGTCCCAGATCAGCGGATAACTGCTGAACGAGCGAGAGAATCACGGGTTGCTGTAGAATACACCTGGAACCTTGAGCCCCCGCGCATGAGAACACGGTCGAGGGTTCCGTTCGTTCACATACTAACACTACCAAACCTAAATCACTCGCGCTCAGAGCTTGTTGAAACGCGGCGTTGTACTGGCCCTTTTGAAGATGAGACATTATACGTGCTTGGGCATCAGCTGCGGCTACTGGTATAGCGGGTGTGGTGGCTCTTGATCTACAAAATTGGCGAAATGTAATTCGATGAAATTCACTCGAAGCTTCGAATTCGCGCCGCTCACCGTGCGCTCGAGATATCGGTGAGCTGTTGGCTGAGATTCTCCCGTATGGAGTCACGAATCGCTCGAATGGTGCCGTCTTGCATCGTTCGGAAATTTCGATTCAATTCAGTCTGCAATTCTTCGCGCACCAACGTCGACAAGGCCTCGCTCAGCTGTTCGTTATGTCGTTGACACTGCTTGTCGATGATGGCGTCGATACTCTGTAGATCTGCAAAGGGAAAATGTTGCGACCGAGCTAATTACAACAACAGCATGGATTACTTACATTCGCGAGTACCTATGACAAAGGAATCTTGGATTTGTTTAAACATGGATTGGCAAGTCTTTTCTATGCCGGGCAGAATGACAGTAGCGAACGCTTCTTTGAAAGCAGCATCCAAGGCTGGTTTAGCCGCATTAGCAGCCGCTAAAGCTAAGCTGTCCTTCACATGCGCACCGTTTATCAATTCAGTTACATTCTTCTTGAGGAGGTCGTTCATTCGATTCACGTCTAACTGTATCTGATGCTTCAAAGGCTCCACGGTCTCCTCGACTACACGTGGCAAGGTAGTTTCAATCTTATCTTTGATCGTTGTCTCGAATGTGTTGAGGAATTCACGCTGATGCGCCATTTGGCTGTACAGGGTCTGTTCCAGGTTGGCATTCTGCTGCTGAGCCATCCTCGCCAATGTGGACTCGACTCGCGCGAACACCGGCGACTCCTGTTGCAATCTGCTCACCTCCGCGCGCAATGCCTTCAGTTCTTGATTCTGACTTTGGATTATCTCCAAGATCGGCGCTAATTTCAATTCGAGATTATTGATGTCATCGTGCGCTGGCCACGACATCCCGGTATTGTCCGTCGAGAGAGCCTTCGGCTCGTCCTTCTTCCTCTGCACATTGTTCTCATCGTCCTCAGGGAATTCCTCCGTTTCCTGCATCGCGTGAACGTCCTTGAGCAACACCATCGGGATGTTGGACCAATCTTCGTCAGTTTTCGTTTCCGGCTTGCAATCGGTCTCGGTTTCCTCGTCGGGTTTACTGCAAGACAAAATTTCTCGAACTTCTCTCGACGGGCTACTACCAGAGCTAGCGGGGGCTTGTTCCTCCATCTCGCTGGTCGCGAGCGGTGGATCGGATACGTTCAATGCTTGCACCGCTTGTGCGAGAGACGGACTGCTGGATATAACTTTCCCCAATTCCGGACTCGCGGTGTTAGACTCCAGCTCGTTATTCTCCTTCTTCGACGGCGAGCTGAACGCGTCGGGTGTCATCAGATTTAAGCCACCGGTGTTGTGATTAATCGTTGCTTCGATCGTGGCGGGCAAAGAGCGCTCTTCGTCGCAATTTTTACTGGGAATGCCATTGTGATTGGCGGTCCCGATGTCTGGTAGATCCTCGGAGTAATCCAGCGATTCGTGTATAAGTGTGTCAAGGAGGCAGTTGCCGCTCACTTGCGCGGCAGGCTTAAATGCAATGTGGCATTCTTGCAGTGATTTCGGCTGGACTAGATACATGCGTATTATCAGCTGATCCTCGATCTCTTCGTCGCTCATCGGACAGAGATCCTCCAATGACTCGCCGCTCGAGCGTATCTTACGCTGGCCGGCGTCAACGATTCCAAAGCTCAAGATTGGATATGGCAGGAGAAACTCCGACACTGTGCTCACGCACGCTAAAGCTTCGCCTCTGTCCTTCGAAAGGCTTAGTATATATAAAACCTTATTATATATATCCGATAGCAAAAGATATCCAGCACTGAGGTCCAAGCCTGCTTTTAGTACCGGCATTTTGCCCGTGGAAGGGGTCGGGGCAAATTTAATCGTTTGCAAGCAGCTCCATACTTCGCACGACCATACTTTCAATTCCGAATTATTGTCACACCCCGTCACAGCAAACCTCCAAAACTGAACACTGAGAAATGGATACTTCGGTCACAAATTGATTTCACTTTCGAGTCGAACGAGAAATACTCACTCCGGATGGTAGTTCTTGTGATCGTCGAGGAAGAACAAGCAGGAGATAGGTCGTCCCGCATGAGGCCTCCACTGGTGCAAACAACGTGGTTGCGGCTGCCCATTGTGAGAATTATTATGTAGGAAGACTTGGAAGAATTTCACTTCTCCGTCGGTACTAGCTGTGGCCAATGCAGTGCCGTCTGGGCTAAATGTCGCCTCGACGATTGTACCTGAGTGTTGTTCAATTTCCATCATGCCGCCGCACTCTTTGGCAGCTTCATTGGTCGCCTGATTTCGAAAAGAAATACTAATGTATCTGACTTTCTGCTCTATCTCTCGCCGCAATTCTCCGCGTACTCACTTCTATCGATCTAAACTTTGACGCCATCGTTGCGATCGACCATAACTCAACCTTAGAACCACGAGTTAAAACCAACAACTTTGACACTTCGTCCCCGTCGGAGGCGTCATCCTCCGGTATGTACGGGCACCAGATCACCCGGTGGCTGATCGAGGGAGCGTCTTCCGCGTCAACTTGTATCACTAAGCTACATAATAATTCTGACGGCGTTGGTTCAATCGTGTGTATAAAGAGCGTTCCTGAGTGATCGATACACGCAAGAACTACATTTGAAACATGAGCAAATGCAAGATCCTGAATAGCACCGCGCATTCCACGCAGTAGAGCTCTGTGTTCCAATTCCTTGTACACAACACGAACTACCCCACCACCTGTACCAACTGAAAGAAATATGTCCAAGTAATCAGGATGTAACGACAGTCAGGGAAAGAATTACCTTTTATACAATAGGCTAGATATTTTCCAGATACATGAACAGCCAACAATTGACCGGTGTAAAGATGATGCTCCCATGTGAAATCAACGATATTTTTCAATTTTACTTTGGAGCTACCATGGTCGTGACCACCAGGCGACGGAACAATGGTCACATTGGTGCTGCACAATTCTACCGAATACTGATCCTCCTGTCCGGTGAATTCCCTGTATGAGAGGACATTATCTCCGCATGGATAGAAGTAAGATCATACGTGTCAAAAGCTAAATTTAATTTTGCAACTTACACCGTCTGCTGAAAGTTGAGGTGCCTCAGGTTATTCTCGCCGGTCTTGATCATATTGCTGTCAGAGTCCCTGCAAAACAACGAATTTACAGAATCTCGCGCTACATCATTACGTCCGGGTCGTCTCCTAACCCCAGTGCCGGTGGCACGCGCGCGATCCCTCTCTGCATATTACGCTTTGCGCAATTCGTCTCACCTCTCACGCATAAATGACGCTCCGCTCGTTAGGGCAGATGGATCAATTGATGAGAAATCGCCTTTTCATCACCGTTCACGCCGTCGTTTAACATGCACGCGAAGCAGGTCGGTAGATCTCGACGAAGGTGATATGTCAGGCGGCCATCACCCACTTGTCAGCAAGGGAGCCGGAAGTACATCGAAATATTCCGCGCGCTTTTACCATGCGTCGGCATGAAAATGTGAGCTGGTTCCAATTTACGTCGATTTTATTTTGGAATTGTTTGAATTTACATGCCGATGGACGTTGAATTCTCGAAAGATTAGCCGATTTCAAGGATCGTGAACTAATCCGTTGATCATTTCTTGATAAGAAAGCCTTGATCAAGAAATGATCACGGCGGCGCTGATGTCGACAATTTGAAATATCGGAACTTTACCAACGTCGTAATGGCGGATGTAAAGTGATGAGCGCGGGTCTCGTTTTCGTGGAACGCAAGTATTCAAGCGGATTTTGTTGCAGGAACGACTTCTTTCATCTAGCCGCAATATCAACTAAAGGTCCTTAACGAGTTGATCAAATTTCAAATAAGTTGTTTAAGTTTTTCAGGCGTATATTTACGAATTTGCCTCTTGTTCCAGATGGTTGGCGTAATAGTGGGAGAGATTTTTCTTACTTTTTCTCGCAACGAGCATGAAATTAACGGTAACATTACCTTGAACATATTAAGATTATTGTAAGCACTGTTGTAAGCATAACGATAAGACATGTCGATGACCATAAACGAAGGCCACGACTCGAATTGTCAAACGTCGCTTTGCGGAAATGCAATCCTGCATTCTGGCAAAGGAAATATCGAAATCAGGTCAGCGTACACACTCAAGTAACGCTGACATATCCAAACCGTCCCCTCTTTGTGATTGAGACATAAGAAGAGGTTAAAAGGGTGATACCGGCGCGACGGGCGACTCTAAATTCTTAACTCTTGGGTACCGACACGCAGTCGGACGCGTACGACGATATTGTATCGGGCGATCAAGAAATAAAGACAAGCTCAGTTTTTTCAACTCAAAAGTCAATTTATTGGACATCGCGCCTCACCACCTCCTGCCGTTCTACCGCGCTGTACCGGGCAACCCCATATTATCCTGCGACGACTCGTGCGCCGCAACAGTACAATATTTCCTTGAATTTGAAGTTCACGTACCTCAATTTTTGAATATGCGTGAAAATGATTTGCGTATATAGTATAGTAAATATACGATATATATAAAAGATATAGCTGTCGGAAAAAAGAGAATTTTCTGAATTTTCAAATATTTTCGACATATTTTGTTATATTAAAGTTTTACAATTAACTGATGAAACAAGATACATTAGAGGTTTTTGGATGTGCTGAAATTAAAACGAATCTTTCATTTTTTCGCAATTTTTGGACCAGTCGAGGAAAGTAAAGTTGAAAAATAAACTTGATTTCGAAATGACCTTGAATTATTGACTATACAACGAAGTTAAAGTTATTAGTTTATGTCCTCTTCTAAACTTTTGTCTAAACCACTATTTTGTCGATTGCTCCGTTTTCAAGATATTCTACTAAAACTTTTTATTAAAATGCAGATAGATTCCAATATTAAAGGGACTAATTGTTGTCTTATTTCGCATTATCATCTTGCGACATGCTCTTACAGGCCTTTTTAATTTTATTAAAATAGTACACCTTGTATATATGTGTTTTTGTACGCGATACTTGCGGTGAAACAATTGAAACGTTGAGAATATGTATCATGGAGATGCATTAACAAGAAAAAGACATGCGCGATAAATTTACACTTTATTTCTTATATTATATTATACACTATAGACAGGCTTTTCATTCATGTACGTGTCTGTCCTTTGGAAAATGGCAGTAGTGCTCAAACGTACGTAGACCCAAAAAAGGTGGCAGTAAATTCAGCTAACGTCGGATACTCGTAAGTAGCGCTTAACGACTATAACGTGCGTACGTTTCGTATGCCGAACATTGTTTACGGATCACATATACCCATCGAAAGCGAGAAGAGAAAAGTGAATCGGACTGTGGTAAATTGCATGTAACTCTGCATGTAACGACCGCTTTGTTAGCAGTCAAATAGATTCGAAATATCTTCAAAGAGAGTTATAACACACGGTTCTGCTCCGTTGTTGTGCAAACAGTAGGTTGATTGACAGAAAATTACAGAAATTCATTCAGCGAAATCAAATTTACATTTCATACAGCGGTTCTTGTTATTGTTGGAAATGTTTGAATGTTTATCGTTTGAAAAAGAATAAAGTGCAAGTAATTGAAAGATCCTTCTTCGAAATTATAAAAGCGAGCGTACTTTAAGATTCGTTACCGGCCCAAGTGATTGTTCTTATAGCGGCGTATTTTCATCTGACTTTGCACGTTACTTCTTTGTACGTAGCAAGTATTCTCTCTGCGATTTATCCTCTCTCTGTCATCATTGTGTATATACAAGATCCATTGCATTCCTCCCGAATTCGCGCAGCTCATGCAAGGTCATTTCGCTCCAAGACGGTACACAGGGGTCGATAATGATCCTATAGTAGAAATTTGCTTTGACAACGTTACATCCGATTCATATTTCGTGACTGCTTTCTTTGCGACGAAGAAGCTATGTGTTCTCTCTTGAGGCTAAATCAATCTTCACGAGGTCCTTTTTGGAACATCGTCGGCGCGCGAACCTCTCTTTATCTTTCGTCGGTTTCGTTTTTAGATCATACGTTTCTCATAGTTGTTTAGTCGCGATTATTCCCACTTTCAATCTTCCAAAGAGCCTTCGATCGATTCACGTTTCCTTGTACTGCCGCATAACGAATAATTTTTGGGTCTTCTTCACATCATAATGTTACACAATGACAAAGCACACTGAGACACTGCGCCAATCCAATAGAAAACCAATATCGTCGTTATTGTACCGTTTTAGTATTCACAGATCGTAAGGACGACGAGGTGCCACAGATCACCGCGAGCGTTGTCGTGGCGATCTCTCACTCTCTCGTCGTTTCTCGTTTCCCGAACTAAACTCGATCACTAGCAGGTGACGACTTAAAAGTCAAGGCTTTATTAATTACAGGATTTTATCTTTTAAGCGTAATATTTCGATCCCTCTATCAGCTAATCGACTGCGTCAATCGTCACAGAAATTATGCGCAATTTCGCGGTAAAAAACAATGACGATCATGAGCGACTAGTAGTATATTTAAAGAGAGAGAGAGAGAGAGGGGAGGGGGGGATAAGTAAACTGACGGAGGTAATGTTGTATTCTGAATTATCATAAATGTTGTGTAAACTATACTAATTCTACTTATAATATTTTTCATTTCTTTCCTTCCCCCTCTAAAATTAATTAACTATGTCGCACGTCACGTTTATCGATTCACATTCCGCGTGGTGAAACGCGAGTGAAACCTGCGACGTGTCGCTAAAATGACAATTCGAAAAGATCATCGGTCTGTATCGGAGATATGAAAAATTTAAGATCTCATCTTTATCGTTAGATGCATTATATCTCGAGATGGTCCCTGCGGGATTGTAATTTGTAAATATTATTTTCCCTCGGCTGCGCGTATATATTAATTATAAAAGCATAAAGTCCCATCTCTATTACAATTAGATTGAAAATTGATATTCTAGTCGGACTCATTAACGAAATGTGTGTCTAACGAGTGCTCGGAAATGGAATTCATATCAATGTAGACGTGTGCTCTCTTATTAAAGACTACGCGACTTTTCGCGGGAAATCCTGAGAAACGGAGCAGACTCGATCGACGTATCGTTTGCGTACAAAGTTCGTATTAGGGAATAACAACGATCGCTAGGAAAGGAAGGAGATGCATTTCGCTCGAAGCATCCGTTATTTCAACCAACATAGGGCCATCACAGTAGTGTGTAAAATACAGTCGCTTGTATGCGTGTAATACAAGAGAAGAATATATTAATGGATTTACAAGAAAGAGACAGAGAGTTATAATTATGTAGTTAGTTATAGCTGTTTGCCAACACATGAAATGCAGGTACTCAAAGTGTGTGAACGTGAAGAAGTAACGATCACAATCATCGAAAGTAACAAATATAGCGCAAAGATTACACATTCATCATTGATGATTACACGTTGTAATCGGGACGAAACCATGATTCACTTCAACGATTCTACAACTTGTGATTTCGCAAGTATTGATAACTGAACGTTACAATACGTCACGCTCGCTGATATGCCTCTGATATATTGCTCTGACTTATACAAAGAAGTATACGAGAAGAATAAATAAATAAATAAATATACAGTTGAATAAATAAAAAAATAAGTCGCAATTGTTGTATGTCTAAGCGCGTTTTACGACTAAGCTTCCTTTTTTTGGTACAAAAAACCTAGAAGTAAGAGAGGAAAATATGTGATTTGTGATTGACGGACGGACTCGTGCAAAGGAGAACCAGAATTAGGAATATATCACGTTATCACACACGCACGCACGCACGCACGCACGCACGCACGCATGCACGCGCGCACGCACGCACACACACACACACACACACACACACACATATATATATATATATATATATCTCGACCAGTCCAGATCACCACCTGATCGCTCGTCCTTTCTATGAGCGTTCTTGCTAACAGCGTAATTGTTCGGCGATTGATCTCGAAGAGAGAATCCACATCCACTAAACAGAAGTCGGCTGACACAACTCCACTCTCTTTCTCTCGTTTGCACGACGGCCCGCACAATTCGCCGTCTATTTATTTATGTACACAGGTTGACGCTGTGCGCGTATCAGAGAAGCGGCAGACTCAAAACACTCGGAACAAACGAAAGCGTCCGCTGTGCTTGCGCGAAGTGATTTGACCCTTAAGACGATATCTTTGCAAACAGGATACCACAACTGCGAATTCGCGAACGGAGTTCTATCTCGTCTTGCAGCTGAAAAAGTAACGTACAAGTTGAATTAAGCGACAGGCGATATTACGACGGATTTCGACATACTTCTCGTTCGGTGTCCTCATTTCACCAGCTGAAGGTAAAAACGAAAATAGAAGATGAAACTCTAAAGAAAAAAGATGAAACGTAAAACGGTCGAGCCTACCGCTTGGAGCATACCTAAGACTAGGACACAAAGTTCCGTTTATTTTGAAAAATACTGTACACAAGAATACCTAAGCCGCGTTGACGCTCACTCTTCGCGTTTAGACGAGTATCGAAGCTGCGACTATGTACGACGGAGAGCCATTTCCGTCATAATAAAGAGGAATAAACGTGTCGGACGATGACAAGACTGGGTAGAGACAGGGTGTTTCTCCCCTTCCCCAATATATATATGCATATATATATACATGTATGTGTACATATATACATATAACCATATTCCATCCTCCTCTTGTGAAAGCGTAAAACTGCCATTTCAGTTTACCTCTTTAAAAACCGGAAGAAGCCCTTGCTCTTATCCGGCGGCGGTGCCATCAGCATTGGTACTTGATTTTTGTGTGTAATGCGAATCTGCGTCAGAGAAATGTTTTAGAAACTACTGCATTAAATTAAACTGCTCGATTCGGTAAAAGTGTTAATGTTACTATTGGAAAAAAGTAAGGCCGTTATTGGAAAAAAAGATGTTACTTTCCAACCCTGCGTACGATAGTATATGCATGCGAGCGCACATTATCGATACATTGAAATATTTTGCTTACCGTACAAGGGCCCTGCATCCAAGGCTCCCCGTCGATCTGCATGGGAAATCGTTTGCTCGTGATTATGGTGACGCTGCTGCATTGGGCGAGTCTTCTGCCGGAATGCCGAAGGCCGGTCTTCACCTGACCCATGTGTAAGCAGTTCTCCAAGCCTATTACTTCGATAAGATTGTCGCCGATATCTACAGTACGATAAGTCATCGCTGAATGTTATTCGAAAATCACGAATCTGTATACACGCCGTCACTCACCCTGAATAGCGACTGTGAGATCTACGGAATTGAAGCTACTGGTGCTAAGTTCCTTGTCGGGTCGCTTTTTCCGTTTGCCGAGGCGGTGGCGCGTGTGATGTTCACCCCAAAGATTCGAACCCCCGTGAGTGAAAGGAATGTTTAACAATGCGACCCCTTGCAGAGATGGCCCATGAGCCAAATCTAAAGGCGTACCGTCGCACTGCAATTAGACAAATGTATGTAACGTTAGGAATTTCAACGTGGGTTCGAATATAACACATCACTCAATAAGTCTCCGGTCTGACACATATATGGCAACACTGTTGACAGACCCATATGATTTCTGGATAGTAGTTTTGCTCACACCGGATCAAAAACAACAACGCGCCGACGATTCAGGGCACTGCTTGGAGCTGTTCAAGCGAGATAAAAAGGATTTCTTGCGTCGGTATGTGACAATGGATGAAAAAATGGATCCACTATTACACACCTGAATTAAAAAGATCGTCAGCTGAGTGGACAGCAGCCGGTGAAAGTCGTCCAAAGCGACCAAAAACTCAAAAGTCAGCTGGCAAGGTTATGGCATCCGTTTTTTTATTTTGGGACGCGCATGGTATTTTGTTCATCGACTATCTTGAGAAAGGTAAAACTATCAATAGTGAATATTACATGGCATTATTGGATCGATTGAGTGTAGAAATCAAGAAAAAACGGCCTCACATGCAAAAGAAAAAAGTGCTGTTTCACCAAGATAATGTTCCGTGTCACGAGTCGATGAAAACGATGGTTAAATTGAATGAATTACGTTTCGAATTGCTTCCCCACCCACCGTACTCTCCAGATCTGGCCCCCAGCGACTGGCTTTTTGCAGACATCAAAAAGATGCTCCAGGGAAAGAAATTTGGCTCAAACGAAGAAGTGATTGCCGAAACTGAGGCCTATTTTGAGAGCAAAGACAAATCGTTCTACAAAAAAGGCATCGAAAAGTTAGAGAAGCGTTGGAATGAATGTATCACTCTTGAAGAAGAGTATGTTGACGAATAAAGTCGAATTTCTAAAAAAAAATTTGTTTTTCTTAGCTAGACCGGGGACTTATTGAGTGATGTGTTATTCTGGCCCGGTGGACATTCGGTTGATCGATTAGTCTATCCGACATTTGATATTGCGAATCTATCGGAACTAAATGATTTTTCAAGCGTCGTTACTCACGATTATCTCGAGATCCTCGTGAAGATTTTTACAACTCGCGGCAAATTGTTCCGTCGTCGCGTATTCGAAGTACCACAGCTTATTTTTCATTCTGCTGTTGAACTTCTCGGGATTCTTCTCCCTTTCCATGTGAAACTTCACGCAAATGGCGGCGTCAACGCCCACCGAGAAATAATTATTAATGATATTGTACGGTATACTGTCTTGATTGCCTTTTTTCTCGTCCTTTTGATCGTGAACCTCTATTTGCCAACGGTCCATCATTACCGGTGTCGCCTTTTCTATTTTCTGCCAAATGAACGAATAAATGAATCACTGAGATTTCACATAGCGAACTTTTTTCGCAATTATCTATGTGTATGCGAAGACGCATGTATAATAACAATATTTAATTATAATTTTTTATTTCTATACGTGATCTCAGTATAAGGGAGATCAGGTTTGATAAAATTTCAGCGTTAAAACTTTTCAGGCAACTAAATGTTGCGATTGACTAAACAACAAAATGAGAACGACAACTTTCCTTTATGCTTTTATACTACGAAAGATCCTGCAATTTCGTATAGTTTCCTCTATAAAAAATACGAATATGGAGCATTTGTGCGAACATGTCCTGATATCGAAGTAGGTCCGAAAACAGCCCGGGGCAGGTTAGCATTATTCGGTGCTTGTCAATCCGGGAAAAAAAAGATCTTATATGAAATTTGTCCGTATATGGTTATATGTAATCATGTCCATAACGAAAAAATATTCTTGTTTACAAATTATATGTAGATACAATCGAAATAAATGCTTCTGGTTATTTGTGTTTCTGACAGCACATGATATCGACATTTAATTAAATGATATAACATCATTTTTCCTTCGTACAGATATATATAATCATATATGTAACTACATGTATGGACAAAATTCATATATATGATTTTATATAAAATCATATATAATCATTTTTTCCCGGGAAAATATAACCTTCAAGGTTTCGTCCAATATAAATAATTCATTCATGCATTTTTTCAACGAGCAAAAATTTTATCATTTATTACATTAATCAATTCACTGTGCGTTTGGTATGAGCACCTTCAAATAATACAGGTAACTGTAAAGATTACTTATTGATTTTAGCTTCTCTACCGGCGTGCAATATACAATGGCTGCGTTTGGGAAGCTCGTTGTCAGCGCTGTTGCGTCATTTTATCTTTATTGTTCATTAATCGTGAAACAAGGATGGGATGATGGTGGCGCTGATGGTGTGCTCTCCGAACGCAGCTAATATGTTAGAAAGCCTCCGATAGCCAGTTGACATGCGCGAAACCCAGCTGGCATACTCGCGTGCAGTACTTTGCACTTGACAAACTTAATTGCTAAACTTTCCTCATCCATGCATATCTTTGATTTAAATAATTTTGTATCAATGTGTGTGTGTGTGTGTGTGTGTGTGTGACTATTTTATTACACAAAAAAATTTATATATATATATCACTGCAGGAAACTTCATTTTAACTAATTATATGCTACTTAGGTTTATTCAGTCACGAAGAAAAATATTAAGAGAAAATTTCGAGATGCTCGAAAATTTACTTGATTACTCTTAAATACATTTTTCTTGTTGTTAACCGTAATATTTTTTCGATTTTAATAAAAGTCGGAGACTAATATTTATGTTCTGAAAAAAACATTTTGCGACCCCTTTTGCATTGTTTCTTTCACAATAAGTGTATAAACACTTTACTCATTTGCGAACATGTCCTGATACCCTCTAATATATAAATCACAGTAATAAAACTGCAAGATCTTATGAACGCGTACAGGAATAATTTTATATACCTTAAGAACCTTGTGCACCGCTTCGCCTTCGTAGCCACCGCCCCAACGCAAACACCTGGCAAGATCGTTGCCTGTACCAAGAGGAATAACGCCAACGGCAGGTTGTTGTTCGAACTGCACGCGATCTATATTAAACAGTTACGCACGATTGCAGCATGCTATCGAATATTAGACCGTTAATAATTTCTCGAGTCAACCTCAAAACAACGAGTTTACAATTATATAATGCGCGATTGATTAGTCGACTATCAGAATGCCAGCGATTTACGACTCACGCGGATAGTTTTCGATTGATGTATATGTTATTAGGGGGACCGGAAAATAATGTCGCTTTCTTAAGTTAAATTCACACGACTACATTTTTAACAAGTTTTTATTTCTAATCAACAATATATTCACCTTCGTTATCAACAACTTTTTGCCATCTAGTATACAAATTTTCAATGCCGAAGCGGTAAAAATCAATCAAATCAAATATCGACATGCGCAGAAACGACATTACTTTCCGGTCCCCCTAATATATCAAATATGCGTGTTTTAACGCGACAAATTGACCACGAAGCATCACGTCGTATTAACGGTCGTTGCACAACGACGTATTACCGTTTAATTTCCGTTACTGACGAATTCAATTAAACGACGACGATTCTGCCGCTCTCAACGCGATGCGTACCCATGGTCTCCAAGACCCAGCCGACCGTGCCGTCGCCGCCACAACAAATCACCTTGAAATTCTCCACGTCCTTAAACATCTGCAGGCCCTGCATGGGTCCGCCGATCGCTAAATTATGGACCTGCCGAGGGTTCAGGATATATTGAAATTTTCGTAACATTCGTTCCCCCTGTCGACCGCCCGACTTCGGATTTATGAATACCAAGAGCGGTGTCGTGTCAGGTGGCGGTGTGATTTGAAATGACATGGCCGGCTGTTGACTTGATGAACTGCCACACGTCAGGAAACCACCCTGTTGAGTTCGAGATTCATTCATTACGTTACGCATGCACGATGTCCCGTTACAGAATCAAACACAGATATCATTATCATCTTTAGACTATATAAAGCCGAGACAATTGCTTTCTCATCAGATAATTTAATTATTTAGAAACTCGATTAAACTGTATCATAAGTTCCACAATCGACTTGCAATTTTATAATGCACGTTACAACCCGAAATACAGAAAATATATATAGAAAAAAAAATTTTGCTAGCACGGCAAAATTTATTTATGCTGTCGTAGCAAAATCTGTCAGTTGTTATAGACAGCAAAACGTCTGTTAACAGTACTAGAATCAGTGAATATATTTTTTTGCTGAATTTATACATTATTTTGCTGTAAGAACAAATGAGTAAATTACGGAAATACTATTTTGCTCTAACAGCAAGTTAGTGTGTGTCCTAAGGACAAATTCACTCAAAAAAATTTTTCTATCTCAGCAAAACGATTTCTACTTTAATGATGAATAATTTGTTAATTTGATTATGCTTACAATTAAATTTTATCACTGCAGTGGCAATGATGGTAGTTTCGCAAAATTATTTTTCTCCGTGTAAAATCATAGTTTTTTCTTACACATATATAATTTACACATCTACTTATAACACATCTACAATAATTACACATCTACTTATCCGTGAGACGAGATATTTAATAATGAGGGATAATTAATGTAAGTCGCACGTACGGAACTAACGGATGAAGTGTCCTGGCCGTATTTGCTACCTCGTTTGCTATCTCTCGACAACGATCTCTGTCTATCCAAAACAACGGGGCAGATCGCTGTAGGCGGAAGGATGTGCACCGCGTGCTCGCCGAATGTACATTCTGCTCGTACTTGCGACACACACCTATTGTGCAGCTGCAATATTTTCATGAAATATATACACAGACGGTCGCGAATGTGTGTCATACTATCATCTCAATTAAGAAGTCTCACGTAATCGTGTGCGTTCGCGTGCTTTGAGCAATCAGTACGAATTTAAATATTTTTATCCGGATTACGCGGCAGATTGTTTAATTAATTACAGTTGAGATGTATAATTGATTTCGCGTGTATACTGCAAATATCGAAGAATCGGCAATTACCCACCGTCCGTAATCATTAAATTGTACAGTGTTTTGTTGCTCTTCTGAAATCGAATCGAAATGTGCAATTAATAGGAGAATTTGTTTTTTAGCAATTCTCAGGAGATACATTTTTTTATTGGAGGTACGTGAGATGCATTGCGAAACTCATCGAGAAAAAAATATTGTAAACTTTTTGTGATTGGCCACGTAGAAATATACCTCACGCATATACTCCGATTTAACGAATACATTAAGTAAACTCCACAAGATCGACACGATGCCATTTTATTTTGGAAAAGAGATTACTCACGGTTATCTGGCACCATCTGCAATGCAGGCCGGTAATGCCGTTGTAACTCTTGATCGTCTTTCTGCACTTGGAACATTTTCCGTGACAATTACCCTCGACCCAATGATGAACCATCGTCTGGGACGTCTTCTTGCTCTTGACGTAAGTGGCTATACAAGAAGCTGGCGCTCTCTGCACGCACCTCTCGTGTACCGTGTATTTGCAAACTGATTAGAAGAGAAGACAAAAGGAAAGATAGATCTCGTCGCCGAACGACAATTACACACGCGTTTCCTTCTTTTTTCCTCGCTTTTTGTAGTTCTGGATAAACACGCATCTTCATCTCGTTCTTCGAGAGAAGCAGTAGGTTGCATTTAATTTTATATAATTATTTTTTCGAGACGATTGATCGTTTTAAACGTCGCAGGATATCGGGAATTTCTTACTTACACACGCAACAGAGTCCTTTCTTGCCGAGACCAACCAGCATGTTTAGACAGAGGTTGCAGTATGCGGGTTTACTGAAGTGTTTCAACCTCCACAGATGGTTCCCATCCTCCTTCACATGGGAATCTAGACCCAAAAGAACCAACAGGGGGATTGTCGTAAGACCGCCTCTCTTCCACTCCTCCAACGAGACCGTACCGTCCGCGTCGTAGTCGATCTCTAGCATCATGTCCTGCAGAATCTGAAATCGAATCGCATTTGCTGGATCACAGCTAATCTTCCGTCGCAGAGAAATTAGACGCGAATTTCTCTCCCGTCTTGTAATGGAGAATCGTGGAGGACGCATTACAGATAAGAAACTCGTAAGAACTCCTCGCGTTGAAATTACGTCTCCCAATAGACATTCTACCGTTTACGAGCCGAAATCGCCTAGCATGTCCTAGATGCGTGCAATGCGTCCTCTCTCTCTTTCTCTCTTTCTGAGCGTCAAGTTAAATAGACGCGCATGTCCTCTGTGATCGTCAATTAAATTTCAACGCGAGGGATTAATTTAGATTTTTCGCGGTACTTAACGAAAGCTCACCTACCGGCTTCAACTCCGTAACGTCCCAGCCGAGATACTCCGCGACATTCATCATCTGATTCACGATGCAGTCCATCTCCTGGATACACGCGATAATGACATTAGTAACAAAGATAAAAAGCTGTTATGCACATTTATCACGCAATATACCCAACGGCACGCTTATGTTAACGTATATGATACATCGCTCGTATGACTGAAATGGCGCGATATATTGAAATATTGACGTATTCTCTCTCTCTCTCTCTCTGTACGCCGTTTTATACGATACGTCCTAGTATGTCTTTGATTAAAACCACGTTATCCTCCTCAGCTGTTTACACGTTTCATCATGGCTGAGCGGATTCGAGTGAAAATAACGGAACGGGTTTGCTCGTGTTCTCATTTCCATCTGTTTTTTATTTTTTTTCCCGCGACCAGCATCGTGAATATTTATTTATATCGACGCGCCGCAAATTCGTATATCGCGATATTAATGATTTGTTCAACACGGCTCTTATTATGTCGCGTGTTTTTTCGATCATCTTCCTCGGCCGTGATATCATATTCAAATCATTCTGTAGGTATATGCATGAATATGCACGCATAATGCACCTGAGCGAGTTAACGGATGTATCTAAGTACTTGATATCACACGTGGCACGCTTACTTTGCTTGAAATTACGGCATTTGCGGGTGAATAGATATTGTGCGAAACAACTTTCGAGAGTATTTCGTAGGTATTTCGCCGAATCCTGACTGAAAACCAGTCGGTTCTGTAATAAATTAAATTATTTAACTGAAAATACATAGATATTTCAATTATATTCACAAAATTAATCTATTCGATAGGAATGAGAATATATATTTTATATAATTATTTATTAATTTATTTATATTTTCATGTGTTGTGTTGAATCAAAATTTTGATTCTGTGCTAATTCTGCAAATTTCGTCGAAAAATCAGAATCTCGAGATATAATATTATACATTGTACAAGCTTGTTGTCCTACTTTGGTGCTACAAATGATTCTTTTTTTCTCATATCGAGTTTCAAAGACACAATTATCAGAGTTATTTCATATTTTGTCATATCAATATATTTATTGTGGATTTAATACGCAATGTATTAATTATGTAAATTATTTAACTACAAGTATAGAGATATATAAAATAGGCAAATATTAAGTAGTTTATAAGAGTGAATAATAGAATTAATGGGAAATAAAATAATAAAATTTTTAATCTTCTTTTTCCATTATTTTTTTTATTGACGTTTCTTTTAGGCTGTGTTACAGGTTCATATTGATGAACTTATTTCGGTTGTTCGAATCGAATATTTCATGTTATACGGAACAAATATATAGGGTGTCCGGTATATTTTGTACATCCGCTCGTGTGCAGATAGAAGGGGTTAAACTAATGGAGAAGGTAGACACTATTACAGAAAGGAATTAATTATTCTGTCTGAGCTAATGAACGCACGACGAATATATAGAAAGAAAGATATCTTCGACCGTGCGCGTGGCATTTGCAGCGTTCCTCCGCCCAAAGACGACACGGAGAATTATATTCTGGAAAAATTTGGACTGATAGTTTTAAATATAAATATAAATATAATCAAGCCAATGTCCGTGTAGAATGAATTATATATGTGTACATATGTATATCGTCCACACAACTTTCTGGCTCCTTTCAATTCATCGATGATACTATTAAAGAAGCGGAAATTGCATTCGTTCCGCGTTGTAACGGATCAAGCAGGATGCATGTTAATTGACGTAGCTATTATAAACGTGGTCAACAACATAGAATAAGTATTTGTCTCGTCTATTAATACACGGAGCGAAGCTATTTCGTACCATTGTCGGGGGAGGGGGACAGAGGTTGAACTATTTCCCGCGAAGGAAAAAATAGCTTGTCATTAGTCGGAATCAATATCGTTTTATACTTTACGATACTTTACGATATCGTCGCGCGTTACTTGTCTATCACCTGCAATTATTTTAACACTAACGTGATAACGTAAATTTCGGCCGATCTCTACCACGATATCACCAGCCAGACCGTACTGATAATATATAAAGTCAAGGATTTTTCCAATCGATATGAGAGACGTTTTCAGCGTTGTGAGGTATCATGTTGCACGCTTTATCCGCGTAAACTGATAATGTTCATATTGTACTCACGTTTGTATCAAGGACACCGTTCCCATCCGTGTCGTATAACCGGAACATGACTGAAAAAAAAGGAAACGATTATCAAGTCAAATCGCTTGTGCAACAAGTTGCAGCCGTACTACAAGTCAAGGCGCGATGAACTTGTAACAACTGTGACAGAAAATCGGGAATGACTGCCAGCCGACACGCGAGTTCGCTCGTAAATTCCGCGCGTCTGACATTCTTCGGTTCTTTCTTACGGGACTTCGCTCGATTTTGTTCTCGGGCCCGAGGTATTCGATTAGCCGAGGAACGTCGTCGCGAATTTTTCGAAAAAGACGAAAAAAAGTCTCGTTTTCTCTTTCGCAAAAGATTTCCCGCCCGCTCTCTTTCGACACTTATTACTTTCAAAGTGAAATAAATTCCGGCGAGCAATTTTTGCGATAAAGTTAGGCACCAAGAGTTTAGGGAGGGGAGAGAGAGAAAGAGAGATTTCGCAACGATATCGCACACATATTCGCGAAACAATTTTTCGCTATTTAGTGTACGTGAAACGCGTACACATGGAACACCACTCGGCCGAAGTTCTCCTGGAAATACGGCGCGGGATTCCGCCGTCATGATTTATGCACGGTCGTGTTTTTGATTATTCAACGCGCAAACAGAATCGCGTTACATCGTTGGTCCAGCGAGAAGCACGCGAATCTTCGTTGGAGCACCGTCGATCTTTCGCCGGTTAACAAATCATTCAAGATCAAAATTGCTTTCGCGAATTTCAAGATGGTAGTAGCGGCGAATACGTACATTCCAATTTATCCTCTGGTCTGCCAGCTTCCAGTAGGGACAAGTAACACACGATGTCTTTCAGGCTGACTTTAACGGCATGGACATCCATCGTGCTCTGCTTCCTAACGAGGTGCCTCATCTCTATAAGCAGAAAGCCGTTTTCAGTTAAATAAGACGTTAATTTGCGTTACCGTTGCTGTGAAAATCAGCGCAATACCGTGAAGTAGCGCACTACAAACTTATATGCTCCAATATATAGAGAAAAAGATTTTTTTGGATTTAATATACATGTTTGTTTAATAAAAACAACACAATCTAATATCAAATATTAGTTTGTTTGAATAAAATTGTTGCTGTTTCATTAAAGCCTTGTTGTTTGATAGAAGAAGTATTATTTAAGAGAAATTACATATTTAATATTTCGTTACCGATAAAAAAAATGTATCTCATTATATATTAATCCTTGAATACCACATTTGGGCGTACCACATTTATGCTGTTATTGAAATGCCTGCCGTTTCTATATAGTGAAAGGTGGGAAGTCGGAATTGAAGGGAAGAAAACTTTTGTTTCACCCTTTATGACTCACCATGCTCCCATTTGCCGTTTAGTAGATGTAGGGAACGTCATTGAAATCGATTTTGCGTGTATTATATATATGTTTGATATAGGTGTTTTTGCGTCATATCACTGTTTCTTATTTTTCCTGAAAAGTTACATCTTTTATTTTTTAAATATGTTTTTATTCCTTTTGTACAATTCAGCTTCATAAAGAAAAAATTGTCCCAAATTTTTTTAAGCAAATAGTGTTTTTTTTTATGATTAAGAAATTTCTAGTCAAGCTTTTTCTAAAATTAACTTTTCTTTTCTTTTTTTAACGCCAATCGTGTATTGATACAAGTTTCTGATATTTTGACATTTAAATTAAAGTGTAAAATAAAGTTTAGGTAAAATTTAAAAAATACCCACTTTTTGAGAAGTTATTAATAGTTAAAAGTAGTTGGGTGCCATACATCCAATGTGGTGAAATTGGAACTCGTGGGAAGTATGGTATTCTAGAATTAAATATTGTTCCATTGAAACAAAGAAGTTCTTTAATATTTTTTTAATATTACTTCTTTCAAATAATTTATTGCTTGTGACAACCATTGTAATATTTGAATGAAAATGCGAGAGAAATATGTTATTTGATGTCAAGATATTTTTTGTTTGAGAAACTAAATAATCCCGTTTGTTAAACATTCATTTGTTTGCCAAGAGATAAAATTGTTTCGATTAAGACAAGACAGTTGTTTCATTAAAGAAATCTTTTTCTCTTAATCTATATTCTTCCAGCTTTAGCAAGACAGATCTTCCCATCATGTAAGAATATTATCACGAAACACCCGTAAATAAGAATATTATCAGGAATCATCGTAGCGTTGTGTCCGGGCTGAAATGCGGCTTCAATGGCAAAACTCCCTTGACGTCGCATTTCGCGAAAAATTCGCTGTATTTTCGTGCGCCGAGGTACCCCGGGCAAAGTGAAAATCGCCAGCGATGTAATCGGACCGCATTTTCCGGGAAATTCGCAAAGCGAACATCCGATTTCGCCGGCAATCGGAGAGTATTTTTAGATTAATGTCCACGCGGATTTGTGTCGAAAAGTTTGGAGAACCTGTTGCTTCGATTGAGACGGCGCAATTGTCGGTATGTATATGTAGTCAGTGAATCGAAGTTATTATAATATAGATTGTTAGCAGCGGTGACGGCTCTCGAGACAGGTCGACGACGCTTAGTCGGTATTTTTGGACCACCTATTTATATTCAAACTGTACTTTTATGCGGATCAATGCGATACTGCATCGATTGGATGGCCGTCGATAACATTTGTTCTCGTGGCCGAGCGCGTCGTAGATTTTCAAATTAGAATTGTCCGGCAAATTAGAAACTTATCTCGAACGGACTCAGCCTTCGATCGGAGAGACACGCGCGAAACAATTTTCGCGCTTATTTGTAACGATGAAAAGTGATACACAAGATATGCGTGTAATCTGGAATTCGTGTACGCAAAGTATTTTTCTCGAAGATGAAAAATCTCGAAAATAATCATGAATCGAAAAAGTACGATATAGTAGTTTTTCTTTACTACTACTTACTAGTTTCTACATTATATTTATAATGTAGACACAATTTCAAGGAAATATGTGAAATTTAGAGAGCAATGCGAACTACAATTATGACTACACATTGCTGCGCAGACCATGATTTATGTCATAAATATAATGAATAACCCGTCGTTCTCATAGACGCGTGTATGGTCAAAATAATTGCAACACTTTTTTTTTCATAAGTTTCAGAACGCATTCCGTGTCCAATAAGAGAATGTGATTTTTAGTAATTCTTAGATACATTTTTCCATTGGATGTGTTATAAAACTCGTGGAAAAAAGTGTTGTAAACTTTTTGACTGATCCCATACATAATAATATTATACGTTACACAATAGTCACTACTCAAGACAAAATTTTTTTTCTCATACCAACGTTAGAAATAACGTGCGATTCAAGTTGCAATATGTTACATATATCAATATTTTCTACCTTTCTGATATTTCCTTGTACACATGGTAAATTTATATATAATGAAATTAATATATATTTGATTAAACTATTGCTGTCTTATATAAATTTTTGCTTCAATATAAATATATCCTAATCGCGCAACATAAGTTTGGTAAATTATAGCTGTTAGTACAGCTATATTATTCAACGGAAATTTTTTGCACGTTAAGATTTCGCCGAGTTCCGTTTTAATTTTACTTTTAAGACTTAATCCTCGTAAGAAAAGATAAAGGGCATTCGTGATCTCAGCACAAGTTTATTTATTATATTATTATAATATTTTTGAAAAATATATTTTTATTACTCATTGTTCCATACGATTTTTGCTTGCTCTTTCTTTGTTTTAATCAAACCATATTCATATATTTCAGTCACTCATGACCGCAATATATGAATTTTCCGTCCTGCTGTTCTACCTTTCCTTGCGAAGATTAATTTCTCGATGGTTCTGACAATTTAACGTCGTTTTTTTCGTGCAAAAATATTGTACGCGCGATCTCGATTCTATTTGAATTTATGTTCTCGAATATTCCGTCAGCAACTGAATAATCGTCGTTTAATCGAAACGATTTCTCCATTCTTATTTTTGGCCGATGTCGCGTCTTGCACAGAACTGATTTTGCACGGCAAGTTAAAAATAAAATTTCGCACGAGACGATTCGTCCCGCAAACTAACGCGGTCATGCTCGCGCTTTGTCCATGCGAGACCGTAGTACATTTTTTCACGTTCGGGCAATCTGATTTGATTCCGAATGAGAAAGAGCGTCGGTAATGACACTCGAATGTGCGAAAAAAAAATATAAAACATTTGGCACCAAGGAAACATGACATGCTGATCGATTGTGGACACTACGATTAATCTTTCTAATGTACAGCAAATCCATCAGATTCTTTTATCATCTCTCTTTCTTTTTCTCTCTCTCTTTCTCTCTCTCGTTCTAACTGTTTCTCTGCATACGTAATTTCTCCAGGAAGTCTGTGGTGCTGATGTCTCAATGATATTTTACAAAAGTCGAGCGAAGCTCTCGTTCATATATTTCTTCTCTCTTAGTATGGACAAATAATTTTATCAAGGTTTATTGAGGATAATCACACAATTCGTATAGTACCGTTTGGCTTTATTTCCTATTAATGAAAGTTCCCGACAATTACGAGCGGGTTCAGTAAATTTAACTAATTATAATTTACAAGCGGTAACGTTGTTTATTCGGTTGATTTCGTGTTGATATGTATAATATACGGTTTTAAAAAGAGATCCCGGGAATCCCACGGTGAATTTCATCACAATAGATTTTATTTCATCACGCCGGAGTCTGATTGTTCGTATTCATCGGAGATAATTCTCCGATTAATTGCTATATTCGCGAAATACTTGGAAAACGTATTTCGTTTCATCTCGATCACACGAAGATTAAATTTCTTACTTTCTCTCTATTAATGTTTCTCACTTGGCATATCTGTATCTAAAATCAGAATAAAAAGTGTATGCAGGATTTGATCCGAAACTTCGAAATCGTCTTCGAGGTAGTCAACGCGCCGATTTTATTATTTGCGGATACGACTTTATGCACCGTGTTTTCGTGAAATTTTACGGTTGTCTCACCTTCCTTCAGCATCACTCCCGATATGTTCGATAAGCGGATCATCTTGTTCTTTACAACCATCATGCCAGCCGAGCAGGGAGATCGTGTTTCATCGAATCGGATGTGCGTTTAGGCAGAATCGCGACGTGATGCGACGATCATTGCGACGGACAAACGTCAAAGTGCGATTAATAATTTAACTTGTCGTAGGCACTTGTTGCTTCTCGTGCGACTGGAGAGTCACTGAGAGTGTGGTGGAACCTCCGTCGGGAAGCTGGTATCATTCTCTCATACGATCGTGACGTCATTTATACCAGATGATACCGGAGATACAGTTATTTCGGTGGCACTCGCACGACGCCTGTATGCGCAAACGTGTGTCGCGCGAATAATTCGAAGCGCGCACTCGACCTCCAATTCTCTCTATGCTAATCGATATAATGCTTCGTTAACTAAGAGAAGCGACATTAGATCCTATTTTGCACGGGAAAAATCTCAGTTCGTGTAACCAAGGTAAACTTCTCGCGAAAGCGTTCGTTTAGATATTCCGATGTTTTAAAACTGAGAATAATTAACTGGACATAAACCTTCTCATACTTACAACTAAGCTGTTTTACACGGTAAAAATTCTTGTTTTGAGAAAATTCGTATTTTCAACATGTTGAAATAAAATTATATAACATTATCAAACAAATAAAATTTATTTACACGAATAAATTGCATATAATGATCTACTAAGGGTATAATATTCTCATTATTCAAAAGTAATTTTCTTAAATTAAGAACAAAGAATATTAGACAGAAAATAACGATATCTTCAAAACTCGTACTTGAGACGACACGAATACACACTGTGTGTGATTTTCCAGAAACAAAAATTATAATTGGCAAAGTGAGAAGTCTAGAAAGTTTCACTTAATTGAAATAGAGACAAACTTACGACTCGTACATTTATCATGGATAATGCGAAATATTCGATCGTTATTCGGACGAATCAAATATTCCTGTGTGTGACCACTCAAGTAATTTTTCACATTCTCTCGTTTTCTACTCTTGACGCCGCTTTGCAATTTCGTTTATCATAACGCTCAGACGTGACTATTCGTTCTCGGTATCTATCCGATTTATAAAAGGCGAGAACGAAGCCTCGAGGGTGCGCAATCCGACTCGTCGGAACCTGCTATTTTCGGATCATATTTGATGTTCTCCTATCATTTTTCTCGTTTGCGCGAGTCACGTGTACCAAAAAGGCGGCCTTTAACACGGCATTTCATCACCTCCGCCGATGTATTTGTGTTACGCGGCAAGACGATAAGATCACACTCGTTCTTCAAACAGACCCGGAAATAGCTGGGAGTCGGCTTCTTCCGATTGCACATACGGAGCCCTATGTCATGACATTTCGCGATGATCAACTCCGAGAGATTGTACAATTTAAAATAGCGGTATTTATTTCAAACCACGCGAAGTTTATACGCGCGATCAATCGCATGCCGCTGACACGCTGCCGCAGACGTGAATAAACATTTCCTTTAAATTCATAACGTAAGCATATTATTTCTGTCACTTGCCGGCGCGTCTTCATTTGGAGCAGACATAAACATCGCGTGTTGATGTCTCGCGCATGCAATTCGAATCGATCGCTTTCTATGTATCATGCATCGGAAAACTGACGTGATCACTCTCGTCCTCAGGTTTTCGTTGCTACTGTTGAGGATGTATCAAGTCAAAATAATGGAAAAAATTACGAAAGAATTGATACAAACTTATCCACATTACATTTAAAAATGACACTAAAAGTTTGACAGTTATTCAGAGCCTGGATCAAAAGTTATTCCACATTAAAGGAAATTGCAAGGTGAAATGAGTTTGAAATAGTCGACGGTATAGCTGATGTAATCTCAAAAAACAGTAGTGAAAGTGTTCAAAACGAGCGCTTCTTTTTTGCATTTCAACTGAGGAGAAATGCTGCTAAGGAAATAATTCCCTCGGCCTTAGGTGAAAAATATCTTATAGCACGTATAAAAACGAACTTATCGACGAGATAACCTTCTCGTGAGTGAAGTTGTCTCGGGAGTGCAAGCGATACAACGCCGCGAGGGAATTTACGGAAGCGCGTAATGAAGCAAAGAGACGAGATTGCGTCGCTTGAGTCCATGAAATGTGATATATGAAGGGACCTTTATATCCATCGCGAGTATGTATTGCGATCGTATTTTTCTCGATCACGGTCGATATGATACTTCTGAAAGAAAGAGATGTCATGTCCCTGCGAGCCGTAATTCACCCGGCATTTACGACCTCAAGCTTTGTTTGAGAGTAACGCGCCGCTGTAAGATCGATGGTGACTGAAATGGACCCTTTGTCATAATGCGATCTCTGGACCGCTCCTGGCAAAAATGAATTCCGCGGCACCAAATTTTACACGGCTTTACGTTTGCCGAGAAGAAAATCTCTCAGGCCTCTCTCTCTCTCTCTCTCTCTCTCTCTCTCTTTCTCTCTCGTCACCCCGACGATACACACTGCTCTTAAGAAATTTTTAACGCGACCTTTCTCGTCCAGCTCACGATCTCCAGGCGAAGATCTCTCTTCATCTCGGGTATTTCCGCGTGTAAAAGAAACGTCTTGGATGTCTGTGAAATAAAAGGACGGATCACCTTTTGGAAGAAGCAAGCGAGAGCTCGTTAAGAAAAGGAGAATCACCTTTTTAGCAAAGGCATATAATTCCCTCGGGAAGGTCGGACGAAGAAAAGCGGAAGGATAGAAATCATCACGACACGGTAAGGAGATCGAAAGCGGATTTCCGTGCGGAGATGTAACGCTGACGATGTCGAATAACGTACGAATATCGCCCGATCTTGTATTGCCTAGTCGTTGTATTCGACAATCGGCGTCTACCTACCTTCCAATTTCCCGTTGTTGACGAGAAGGGAATTGTTCGACTTCCTGGACGAATTTCGCGACATTTGACTGTGGCTCGGGCTGCTATCCGTGCTCTTCTTCTCCAGTACGTCATGGCAGCTATACGATGTATGGGTGACTGTTAACATTGGATGCACGCTTCCTGAATTGTCCACGTGACGTTGCGTGAAACACAAGAAAAACAAACAGTATGATCGATCGACTGTGTGCGTGCTCAAGAGAGAAAGAGAGAGAGAGAGAGAGAGAGAGTTGATCTTACGTCTATATACGCACGAGATGCACCGACTTGTTTACGCAATGAAAGATTCACCGGCTAAATATTCATTACGTCCTCGCGGTCGGTGCGTATCTAATGCGCTCCAAGATCGTATTTTCCAAGAAATACATCTGTTTGCATAGAAAGGAGGATTGTCCTAGATTTCCATCTTACCTCCGCATTTCCGATCAGAATTAAATCGCGCGCAAGTAATTTTCCTTCTGACAAATTAATTTTATTCGCGCGGTGAGTTGCCAGACATGAGTGTGAAATTTTCCAGAGATCAAAATGTTCGAGCGGAAGTTTGCGTAACGAATCGTCTCTTTAAAACAATCGTCTAGTAGATATTCATCAGTCGAAGCAAACGTATTTTTAACGAACCCTTATGTCTTCGTTCAAAGTTCCGCTTCCTTTGGATTGGATCGATTGTTATTCGTTTGTCATTTCCACGGGAACAATAGCATTCCCCGATGTGTGATGCGAGTTAAAAAAAAGAAAGAAGGATAAAAAAAACGTTCAACGAACCATCGGAAGTGTCATTTTCTTTTTGCTCTGACCTATTCTATCCGATCTTGTGGGAAGTTTATTTGTTTAAAATATAGATTGAGGAACGCGGAAGCGAACAAGGAAAACGCGTTCGCGCGCTAATGGAAAGGTATTAATTGACGGTATCGCGATTGATTTCGCTGTCTTCGGGGTCAATCCGAGTAGAAATTTTCATCTTACTTTCCACCTGAAAAATTCCATTTAATTTTTATATTCTGAAGCCTATATAAATCTAATTTTCTAATTAACCTTCTCAGCTGAAATTGTAACTGTATTTTCAATCTCAACATTCCATGTTAAGCCTATTTAGATACTATGAAGCCTATATAGTAATTTATCTTGATTATATTTAACCTACAGCTTTTATTTCAAGTCAGTAAATTCTACTTGGGCGGTTTATTATTATTTCTACTGCGGTATTCTTCTTAATTTTTTGTAATATAAATAAGCCAAATATATATAAGTAAATCAAAACTCTTTTTGTTTAAATCATTTTTGAATTCTGTTACAATTAATAATAATAATAAGGATATAAAATTTAAATATGGATAGATATTCATAAAATTTCCGTATAAATTAAACCTATATTCATCTTTCTGAACCTACAGAAAATTCGAATCAAAAGTAGGTCTAAAGCCGGTATTCAGAGTCGGATATATATATATATATATATATA